TCAGGGCAGACCACTGATAGGGGAGGTGATGGAGACCGTGGTGGAGTGTGTGGAGGGATCACTTCACTCAGCCTGGGTGGATGGGAGCATCTAACTCCGATGTTTGTGTGTTTGTTTGTGTATGTGTGTATTTCATGTGCATTGTGTATGGTTTTTCTTGTTTTGTTTTGTTTTGTTTTTTTTGCTTGTTTTTTTGCTTTGTTTTTTTGCTTTGTCACGTGCCTAATAGGATGTGATGGTTGTTGGGCGGTGGACGCAGGTGATGAGGAAGCAATGAGAGGAGCTGATCCAACTTCGGACAGAGGCCCGACGCTACCAAGGACAGGCGATAAGAGGTTGAGGGGGCGGCAGAGGGGGCGACGGCGACGGCTGGGGTTACAGGTAGTATTGCGGAAATTTATCCGCGTACGCGGAATTACGCATGCGCGGAATATTGCCACGCCCATCCGCGTAATACATAATTCCGCGCCACGAGTGGCGTTGCGTTGAAAATCGCCACATTAATAACAATAATAATAATATTATTATTTTAACGACCACTGAAGAGCCAGGGTGGCTCACTGGTCACCTACTATTGTGCATGATGAAAGCATGATAAATAAATGAGGATACGGAGTGGTTCAGTTACGGGTGTGTATGGCTGAGAAAAAATATAAACTTCTGTTCCTGGGACATAAAACGATAGAAAGGGAAGTGATTTTCTACAGTTGTTTCCATTTGTTGCCTCTTTGATGAATATTGTGGACACACACACAAAAAGTGATATTCATCTTCGATTGTGTCACAGACTGTACATAGTCGATCTGTTACAGGGAGAGGCCTGGGCTTATGGAACCTTCCTACCTCAATTGCCAGTGAATGTGAGCTGGTTCGTAATCTTGCCATGGCTGCGCGATATTTAGGTTGATGGATATTTAGAAGGTAAGGTTCCAATTCGAATATATGTTTTAATTTTCTGTAGGTCCGCAATTTATTCCCTCCTGAGCCTCTCTCACTGTGTTCTCTTTGTAGATATTCATTCCATTTCTGTAGGAACTGATCTCTCATTGTGCACATTAGTTGATTCCTTAGGAAAGGCTCACATCCATCAAATTCTGATGTAAAACCTGTCTGGTTGAATAGCGACAAAATCTTCCCCACCCAATTATTTCTTCTATTAGCTGCATTGTGAATGGAGAGATTTGCTGCATCTTTTAGTAGAAGTGGGATGTCCTCTGAACAAAGTCTGTCCCAATATTTCAACAGTCTTTCTTTCCACCACAGATGAAGAGGAAGTTGTCCTAATTCTCCTCGGACTGCCATGGTTGGTGTTGAGACCGGAACATTGAGAATATACTTTAGTATCCATAATTCTACTTTTTCAATGTCTTTATCTTCTTCAAAACCCCAGATCTCACATCCATAACACATGATTGGTACGATAAATATCTCATAGAGTTTGAGCATTACCAGGACTGGTGGATGTTTCAGACTTGAATATAGGTGTAACAGTGGAAAAGAAGCCTTTCGTGCTTGTTGGGAAATGTGTTGTCTTGCCTTATTGAATTTACCATTTTTTGAGAACCAGACTCCAAGGTAACAATATGTCTGTACTGTTTCAAGATGAAAGTCTTTCCAAAGAAATGGCCCCTGATACCTGCTTCTTCCAAATATACATATCTTTGTTTTTTCTGTATTTACCTCCAGTTTCCATTTCTGGCAAAATGACTGTAGAGACTTAAGATGTTTTTGAAGGCCTGCTGCACTTTGGGATAGCAATATAATGTCATCTGCATACATGAGTAGGTCCAAACGGGTGTTGAACATCTCAACCCCAGCATTGTTTATTCCCAGTTCCAGCTCTAGGTCACTAGTAAACAAGTTAAACAACAGTGGGCTCAAGTTGCAACCTTGTCTAACACCTTTCTGGCAGGGAAAACCTGCTGTAGTTTTACCCCTTGAAATTTTCACACATGACTTTGCATTAGCATACATACATTGCAACAAGGTAAGCAATTGCTTGCTTATACCTAGTTGTGCCAGCTTCACCCAGAGAAGCGTGTGGTTCACAGAGTCGAATGCTTTTTTCAGGGTCAACGTAGCAGACATACAGTGGTACTTGTTTTCCTCTATAATGCTCAATTACAGTGTTTAATATGAATAAGCAGTCAGTCGTTCTTCTGTTCTTTCTGAAACCAAACTGAGATTCTGGTATTAATGCATGTTCCTCTGCCCACTCCGTTAGCCTTGTACTAATAATCGATGTAAAGATTTTCCCCATGCTGTTCAGAAGAGTGATTCCCCGATAACACGAGGGGTCTTGTTTGGAACCACCTTTATGTATTGGTGTAATAACTCCGACTGTCCAGATTTTAGGGTAAGTGCCAGAATGGAGAATAAGGTTAAATAATGTTGTAATGCAGGAGAGAAATAAACCATTCAGAACTTTATAAACATCCCCTGAAATACCATCCGGGCCAGGCGCTTTATTTGATTTCAGATGAAGAATTGCTTGTTTGGTTTCTTCCTCTGTTATATCATCATCCAATTCTGGGATATAAGGTGATGGAGTTGCAGACTGAGGGAGAGCTACAGAGCTGTCATTCTCTGATGACATGTTTAGATTTGTAAAGTGGGACAGAAAAGCTTTGGGGTCTATATTGGAAAATGTATCCCTCCTCCTCTTCGCTCTAGAGATACATTTCCAGAATCTCTTGGGATCTGTCTTTTGCGCACTCACAAGCATTTGGTAATGCTGTATAGTTGCTGCTTCTCGCTTCCTTTTAACCATTTTCTTGTAGATCCTTTTCTCCATGAAATAGTTTTCTCGATTGAACTGATTGTCTGAGAAATGTTGTAAGTTTTTTCTTGCACTGTTGACAACTCTTTTTTGGGTTTTGCATTCTTCATCAAACCAGCGCTTTCTAGGAAATCTATTCTTATTGGTTCTTACTCTTGTGTCCCTAGGTTTCCTCAAACTCTTGCTCATCAAGTTTGTTAATAGTTCTGTTATTTGTTCTGCCCCGGCATCACAATCAATTGACTCTGAAGATAGTAAAGTTTTTAGCTCTAGAACACGTGTCACTACATCATTCTGTTCTAAACTGCTGATGAAATTCTCCTTGTTCCATCTTAGGAGATCCGTGAGGGGGAATTCACATATAGGCGATGGCTCCATTGATGGCAGCACAATTGCTGCTTTGAGCACAAATATTGAGAGGGCAGTGGTCTGAATATGGCTGCAGAGAACCAACTCTAAAATCAGTAACATTGCTTAGCTGACCTGCAGATATAATAACATAATCTACCACACTCGAGCCTCTTGGAGTATAACAGGTAAATTTACCTGGGCTGTCCCCTTTATGTCTTCCATTCAGAATTCTTAGACGTAAACTGATACAAAGATCAATGAGTTGTCTTCCCTTGTGTGTTCACTGATATGTCTGCAGATTGTCGTGCACTTTCAAAATCTTTTTCATAAGGGAGCTATGGGGGATGGAACAAAGAAATTTGTGTCTTTTTCAATGTAGTCATTCTTGCTGCCAGTTCTTGCGTTCATGTCCCCACAAAGTAAAATATTGCCTTTACCAGCCATTTGTATCACCTCTGATTCAAAACATCTCCATTCTGCGTCATTGTGGCATGTAGCTGTTGAGCCCACTGGTGGTATGTAGCAAAAACATATAAACAGCTCCTCATTTATTGGTGCAAAAGGTTTAGTTCTAATCCATAGTTTATCTTCGGCTTTCATTTCTTCAACCATTGTAACATTCTCGCTGAATCTGTTATGGATGTACAGCAGCATTCCCCCTGCACCTCTTTTAGCTTTATTATGTAAAAAAGATCTTGGCTTGTTCACACACTTGTAGTTGGGGACTTCATATTGAGAACACTCTGTAGTTTTTAACCACGTTTCAGAAAAACACACAAGGTCATAGTCTGAAGAAAAAACTTCTTGAAGATAATCATCGAATTTGTTTTTGGAAAGACCCTGAATGTTCTGATAAAAAATTTTAAAGAAATTTGTAGAATCAGTTTGTGAATGATTGTGATCTCGTTGGTGGCCACCCTGGCCTACGTCCTATTCGTAGTATGAGGTGCCGTTCTTCGATGCGTAATACGTGTGTTTAGCGCGTTTGGTGCGTAAATACGGACGGGTCCGTATATGTCGGCTAGACTCCAGTAATGAAAACTGTAGCACTGCAGCAGCACCAACCCTTTCAGCTTCTACTATCAAAGGTTTGGAGTTTTTTCTTTACTATGCTCGAAGTGGACACAGTATGATTAGAAGCATAGGACGGTCCCAATAATGGTTATTGCTCATGAATACTTTGCATTTGAAGAATGTGGGAGAATGTTGGACAAAAACATTTTCCAAGACAAGTGTAACCAGGCGGACAACAGAAGCTGACTCCGACCCACATTGTCTCTCACACCCCTGAACATCCCTCACCTGCCCCTGACTTACTGATACCCACATGTTATCTTGTTCCCCTGTTCCCCACAGTTCCCCTCAACTCGCCCCTTACACTCACACACTATAAAAGCACGTTTTTATTACTAGAGGGATGTAACGCAATTATTATCGTTCACCTTTGCACTTGCAATATTATGACGCTGGTGTTTCCCCGTTAGCTACAACATTAGTGTGTGCGAGATCACTAGGGTGCCTGTCGTCATCATGATAATCGATAGAAAATTATAGATTACCCGGGACAAGGAAGGGTGAGTCGAAATAGCAAACCTCTTCCTCCTTGCACAACAACATCCAGAGAGCTAGAGAGCTCCGCTTTTTGCGCATGCGTAGCTACAAGCATAACGCGCCGGTCCCCCGGCCCCCCGGCCCCCCACAGAGACGTAGACAGCACGCGCCCTTACACACGAGCTGTGCAGCCCTCACCCTCGCCCTCGCCCTCGCCCTCACCAGACGCAAGTGGAAAGAACGACACCTCGATTTTTATGCGCGCGACTGAGTGGGCGTAATTTGTTGAGTCGCGTGCAACGGTGTACTTTGACCCCGGTGACTTCCGCTCCGTTTTTCGACGACCAGGCTGACTGCATCAGATTCTGACTGTCGGACCGTTTGCGATCGCAGCAACGTATGCATCAATTCTGAAAAGTGCAATAGATGTGGAAAACACAACTGTATATGAAGTGCTCTTGATGAATACGGAATATATATTTCAGCAACTTGTCTATGTTCAGTCAACTCTTCCATCTGTTACGACGAATGAATATATACTCCGCGTGTTCCTCCAGCATGGTCAATTTTGCTAACCGTCGTTTCTGCGCTCATGGGCAGAGTGATAATACTTCAGGATCCACACACCGTATAATCCATGGAATGTACGGTTCGTTAATGCCAGGTGTAGTGGGTAAGCTACGTTGCTGCGATCGCAAACGGTCCGACAGTCAGAATCTGATGCAGTCAGCCTGGTCGTCGAAAAACGGAGCGGAAGTCACCGGGGTCAAAGTACACCATTGCACGCGACTCAACAAATTACGCCCACTCAGTCGCGCGTATAAAAATCGAGGTGTCGTTCTTTCCACTTGATCCCCACCAGACTACTTCTTGATCTAGCCTTTCCGTTTCTCGTCACAGTGCTTCTACCTGCACCAAAACAATGGCTCAAGGTAAAAAGGGACGATGAACTTTCTAGGTACGTAGATGAAGTCTTGACTGGAGCTATCGGTCCCACAAGTGGGTGTACCTAATTATCGAGCGCAGCTAGCTATTAGCAGCCGTAGTCCTATAACAGGAGACAGGTCATGGTTACCGTCGTTTTGTTGCAGGTGGGAAGCAACCGGTGCAGTGGATGGCGGCACCGCAGGCGATCCAGGGCTGTCCGCCTGGACTGGAGTACCTGACTCAGGTGGACCAGCTGCTGGTCCACCAGCAGGTGGAGCTACTCGAGGGTAAGGTACCCTGGCACTTCTATAGGACCCGTCTCTTAGCCGTAGTGTTTCACAACCAACCTGAATATCTTGGCTGATCTGTGATTTGCACCCTACTTTGTGCACACACCATATTGTTCTTGGTTTGCCCTGCATCATCTTTGGACGCCCTAGCTTTACAGAGGGGACTTTGTCATTGGCCCTGAATCAGGACAGTAGGAGGTGGTGTTTCGTTAACAAAGGCTCAAGGGAAGCCCTTCACCTTCTGCCTTGACGTGTGCACATCACCATATATACTGACTGAGACAGCTCTGTGTAATGTGGTGTTGTACACATGTGCACTTCAACTGTACATAGTAGGAAAAGCCCCTACCTGTATACCATATGCTGTTATGTGAAATTTGGGAAAACAGTGTTGCTATAATACTTACCTGACCTAGGAAACTGTCACTATGTATATACCTGTATTGTATGTCATGTGCTGCTAATTGCATTTTAGTGCCATTAGTTCTTGGCTATTGCAACACAGACCATGCACATCCTTAAACTGTGCCACCTGCAATTTCCTCTTTTCACCCATGACCTGCTTGACTTTCACTCTTTCGCTCTCCCTCCTCCCCCCTTCTCTCCCCACAGTCCTCACTGGGTTTGAAACAGCCAACAAGTATAGGATTAGGAACACTCTTGGACAGCAAGTGTACTTTGCAGCTGAACGTAAGCCCCATGCAATTGTTATGTTATAACAAGCCCACCATTTTTAACCCTCGGCGCGCATGTGCAGCGAGGGTTACGGTAGTTGGTTTGTCTGTCTGTCTGTCTGTGTGTGTGTCGACGCTTATTCTGGCACTACAGGCTACGAGGTGGCTAATGAGCGATACCAACAGCTTCAGAACTACGCGAACCTGAAAAATTATTAGGCGATTTTCCTGAAACGACTGCGTTCGAGAGCGACAAACTGGCACGGTCGCGGACGGAGTTCCGTGGCCCAACCCATCATTAAGCGGTGCGCATGCCTATAGACACGATCAACGCGGTATGTTGGCTCCACCTCGACCTGATCCGCTTGCTCTGTGTACATTGGAGGCACAAGAAGCCACAGCGAAGGGCGTGTATCGACTGCCGCATGCTATCTACTACTGTAGCTAGCCCGTGTCAGACTCTCTGCGAGCTACTAGCGGGAGACCGCGAGTAAACGCCAATAAGCCCAGCCCAGCCACACCGCGCATGCGCAGTTCGCCGAGGGTTTGCACTTCAGGGCTTTTCATATTTGAAGTAGTGATTTGTAATTCGCAAAGGTTTGAACCGAGGGCGTTAGGTGGGGCTAGCTGCTTATACAGATAATTTGTAACGGAAGCACATTCCATAGTCACTAAATCATAGTCACATCATCTGTTGTGAGTATAGTCTGCTATTGTGGAGTGTGCATCTTCTGTATATACCTGTATGTAAGACTATTGTACATGTGTGTTACAGTCTAGTTTTTGCAGTTAGGGCTTTTGCTCCAATAATTGTTGCTACAGTTGTTTCTCTATTGAAGTATCTATGGTCTAAGCAGTTGTAGATATAAATATGCACATAACTGAATTTTGCAGCATGTTCCTGTAACTCTCTGCTTGGTGGTGAAAATGCATTGCATTGACTATGTGTACAGTGGAGTTATAGAGCTGTGGCTGAAGCTAGTTTATCACCCTTCTATCTTTCCAGCTAGCCATACATGGTGTTAGACCATAATGTCTCACAGAACACAGCGACCAAAACTAGTGTGTTTGAGTGGACACGGCTGAGATAAACAGTGCGTAAACCATTGTAGCCTCAATGTGTGTGCTGTTCTGCCTTGAAACTGAAATTTTGCAGGTATGTATGCTAGGCTAGTAAATAGTCAAACATAGTAAGAGTGTGCATCTCCAGCAATGCACCCATGTTCTGTTCTGTTGTGTTACTTTCTTTGAATTACTTGTTACGCGGAATGGCACACTGGCCAAAGGAGTAATGGGGAAGAACCACCTCACACACACACAAATACACACTGTTGAATTGTACACTGTACAACGTTGTCAAGTGCACACGGGCTGTATACCCAGATGCCCATGTTGGTTTACAGTTAGTGAGTTGTACTTGTTAACCCTCAGCGTGCTTGCGCAGTGTGGGTTACAGTAGTTGGTTTGTCTCTGTGTGTGTGTCAACTGGCACTACAGGCTAGGAAAAGGAGAGGCATGCATAGTGTATCACCCAACAAGCAGGACTTCCTGGGTTGTTTTTGGAGGACAGGGGCACTTCCAGTCAGTAAGTATGAGGTACTGACATAGTACTAGGTATATTATACAAGAATGTTGAGGATGTTAATCAGAGCAACAGGATGCTGTTATCAGGTTGCTGACTCCGCATAGGCATTCTTTACCTGAGGTCATAGTACTTACAGCATAGCTGGGGCTCATCAGTATCACTAAGTACGGTAGTACTTATCACTAAGTACGGTAGTACTTATCACTAAGTATGGTAGTACTTAGTATATAGGGATTGACATGGTACCTAGCATCATAGATGTATGGGGCTATGATAGGGAGTTTTGTTCTTCTTCTTCTTCTTCTTCTTCTTCGACCAGCGTAACTCAAAAACCGAAAGAGATAAAGCCATGAAATTTTGTAGGAATGTACATATCGATAACCACATGGGCAACGTCATACTTTTTTGTTTGTAAACAATGTTGTTTACTGTAAACAACAACAAAATTGCCCCAGGCAATACATTATAATGGGCAATACTTTATAATAGGCATACTACATGTGTCAGCAGCGTAACTCACAATTGGTAAGAGTTATGTGAGCGAAAATTTTTACAAGTAAATACAAAATCCTGCGGATTAAAAAAAGAGTGCATATAGGGATCGTATAAAAAGAAAGGGAGACAAGATAGGGATTGTGTTTGTGGAAACACAGAGATGCTAGCGAGGAGTTAGGACTCCCACAGGTCATTACAACAGCCCTATATCGTCGTACGGTGGGAGTACCTAGCATCATAGATGTATGGGGCTATGATAGGGAAGTTTTCAATCTTCTTCGTAGGGTGGGAGTGGGAGTAATGAGAGTGTCTGCTATAGGTAATGAAGTACTTACTAATTACCTTTGATAGATTTGTCATGCTACATTTCCATGGAGTGCCATTTAGGTGGAAGTGTAATCAGCTGACCGTAACATTGGATATACATGTATATACATGGAAACATGGAAAAATTGTGTAACGCAAGAAAACAAAATTCAAGTACGTATGCAGATATATTCACGGGGAAGTAGTAAAGCACCGATACGACGATATAGGGCTGTTGTAATGACCTGTGGGAGTCCTAACTCCTCGCTAGCATCTCTGTGTTTCCACAAACACAATCCCTATCTTGTCTCCCTTTCTTTTTATACGATCCCTATATGCACTCTCTTTTTAATCCGCAGGATTTTTTATTTACTTGTCTCCTCTCATTTTTATATACTACTACGTATTATCTCTGTGGAAGGGGGCAAGCCCCTATAAAAAGTTAATAGAGAAAAAATGCCTGTTGTCGTCATGGAAATGAAATGCATACCATCCATGTGTGCTGCTGTTAGCAAGTTTGAGGAGTAAAGAAGTAATTATAAAGAAAAGTGCCTGAGGCCATTTGTTGTTGTGGTCGTCATGGAAACGATGTAATACACATGCGCACCAAGTTTCACCTCCATGCGTGGTACTGTTAGCAAGTTTGAGGAGTGAAGAAGTAATTTTAAAGGTTGTTGTAGTTGTCATGGAAACGATGTAATACACATGCGCACCAAGTTTCACCTCCATGCGTGGTACCGTTAGCGAGTTTGAGGAGTGAAGAAGTAATTTTAAAGAAAAGTGCCTGAGGCTATTTGTTGTTGCGGTTGTCATGGAAACGATGTAATACACATGCGCACCAAGTTTCACCTCCATGCGTGCTGCAATTAGCGAGTTTGAGGAGTGAAGAAGTAATTTTAAACAAAAGTGCCTGAGGCTATTTGTTGTTGTGGTTGTCATGGAAACGATGTAATACACATGCACACCAAGTTTCACCTCCATGCGTGCTGCATATTAGCGAGTTTGAGGAGTGAAGAGTATTTTAAAGAAAGTCCTGAGGCCTTTTTCGAACAATAATTGCGGTCGTCATGGAACATGTAATCGTCATGGAAATGATATAATAGGCATACTACCAAGTTTCATCTCTATGCGTGCTACATTGGAAAGTTTGAGAAGTGAAGAAGTATTATTAAGAAAAGTGCCTGAGGCTATTTGTTGTTATTTACAAACCTGTATTGTTGTGATTTTGATGTTGCTCTTGAATACATTATGGATACAAACTTTCTTCACGTAACTCTTACCAAGTGTGAGTACACTGACACATGTAGTATGTGCCCATATATGTATTGCCTGGGGATTTTTTTGTTGTTTACAGTAAGCAACATTTGGTTTACCAAACAAAAGGGTTGATGAGTCCCATTTGTTAACGTTTACATTCCCCCCTACAAAATTTCATGGCTTTATCTCTTCGGTTTTTGAGTGATGCTGGTTAAGAAAAGAAGAAGAAGATGAGATGAAACCAGAACTCCCTATCATAGCCCCAGACATCTATGATGCTAGGGTACCGATTTCAATCCCTCTATCTAAGGACTACCGACTTAATGATCCTCATGCCAACATAAATCATACAATACATGGTTTGTAATAGCCCAGCACTTTTCTTTAAATTAAAGCTTCTTCGACTTCTCAAACTTTCGCAAATGGTAGCAACACGATAGAGAATGAAACTTGGTACGTATGCCTCTTATATCATTTCCATGACATTACATGTTTCCATGACTACCGCATATGCCTCGAAAACGGCCTCCGGTTAAATTAACTTCTTCACTCTCCTCAACTTTCTAATGGTACCGACGCATGGAGGTGAAGTTGGTGCGTCATTTGTGTTACATCGTTTCCATGACTGACCACAACAACAAATAGCCTCATGCACTTTTCTTTAAAATTACTTATTCTTTCCTCCCTCAAACTTTCGAGCTGTAGTCACGCATGAGGTGAAAGTTGGTGCGCATGTTTGTTACAAAAACAGAAAAAACCCGTTTCCAATACGACCACACAAACAAGCAAATAGCTCAGGCACTTTTCTTAAAATATATCTTCACTCCTCAAAACTTGCTAACAGTAGCACGTCATGGAGGTGAGTTGGTGCGCATGAGTGTATCACAATGCGTTGCATTGACGACCACAACAACAAATATCCTCAGACTTTTCTATCAAATTCCTTCTCACTCGTCCCATTTTTTCATTTTTCCATGTAATATACATTATATACCAATGTTTTATGGTCGCATGATTACACTTCCACCTAAAGGCACTCCATGGAAAATGTAGCATGACAATCTAATTAAGAGTCACTTCCCATTACCTAATTTTATCATACACTCTCATTACTCCCCCTCCCACCTACGAAGAAGGATTGAAAACTTTCCCTATCATAGCCCACATCTATGATGCTGGTACTTGTACTTCACTTCCCACCGTACGGCGATATATGGCTGTTGTATATGACCTGTTGGTAGTCCTAACTCCTCGCTAGCATCTCTGTTTTTCTCCACAAACACAAGCCTCTTGTCTCCCTTTCTTTTTAATAACATCCATAATGCCACTTTTTTTTTTAATCACCGCAGGAGGTGTTAGTTACACGTGTTGCTAATTATAACCATCCTGCAGCAAGGGCTCTAGTACATGTATATTATGTGTTGTGTGTGTTGGCTAACAAGCTGTTTGTTACCATTTGCTGTCCACCATCACAAGGCCAGCCAAAAAGCGACACCAATGGGTTCAGTATGTGTGGCTTTGATTTTACGAAATCCCCTTTTCGTTTACCGCTGCGTTTCAAAAGTTAAAAGCAGCCACAGCGCTTTACCGCTCATCCGGCAACTTTGCTGGTTTGTTGAATGAAGAAGTCCCTGTAGTGTACTATAAACTAACATGGAGACACTGACTGCTCCCATACTCCAACACATTGTACCAACAAGTTTTTTGTACAACACACGCACAGTACACACACATCCAGGATCATCCAGGGCAGCTCTTCTTAGTTTTTCCTTGGTGTAGTTTGACTGGTTTGCTGTTGGCCTTGCCTGTTCTAACAGATCATACTTGGCCACTGTACTCAGTTTTTGGAGTTGGGTGGTCTTTTTGTGGTTTACTTACCCCCCCGTGTGCTCCTACATACTGAGTGCGAGTGATGAGACTATGGGCCAGGCCTATCGTTATTTACTCTCTTCTCACTCTCTCCTCATTCCATTCATGGTCCACCGCTAGAGAGACTGTGGCCTTCCTTTCCCTGTTGTGCTCTCCTACTCCCTCCCTCTCCCTCCCTTTCTCTCCCTCTCTCTCTCTCCCTCTCTCTCCCTCTCCTTTCCCTTTCCTTCACTCCTCCCTCTCTCTGGTCCCACCCTCTCGTCTCCCTCCCCTCTCTCCCTCATTCTGCATACCCCCAAGTCTGACTGCCTGACTAGACAGTTGTTGTGGACAGGCCAGACCGTTCAGTATGGCTATTCTTGACCACCACACACAGAGAGGTGAGCCAATCAACTTCAACTAAGTCAACAACCATATGCCTCTTTACACTGGCTTACCATCGTACCAGATCCCACTTGTTTTGTGCACTGTGAGGCATCAAGGGGTACAATGTCGGTTAATGAAAATTCGACGAAGTTAATGGGGGGGACATACCTTGTCTAGCCTGTGGAGGTGGGGTGCCCCCACCTCTGCCCCTGTGCGCCTCCTCATCGTCTCGCAACTGGCGCCATGTGCATACCAGCACCACTGTGGCAAACTGGTGAAGAACATCGCCGCATGCCGTTCCCAGTGCTGAGTTTCCCGTCGCCGGCGGTGGCGGGGCAGCGAGGACAGCAGTTTTCCTCATTTTTGCGAGGGCTCCCAGCGGTTTGCCCTCATTTTTCTTTTCTATGGATCGGTACGCTGACCCCACCAACGTCGGGGGCCCCTCCACTGTTCATCGAGTCCCGATCTTTAACAAAGCTCTCTGTGCGGAGTCTCCTAAGGGAAGAGGTTAGCCGCATTTCGGCCGCGTGAAGCATTGCGGAGCCCCGACCCCGTCAAGTCAGAGCCCCCCGGACCACCCATATTTTAACTTTTTTCGGGTGTCTCTATAAATTTCCGCAACCCTGCTAGAACTGGAAGCGGCATCCACCCCCGATCACTGGTGCCACATGACAGCTCACGTTGCTACCCTACCACCCAGCCCCGCTTGAATCTGCCAGTCTGGCAGTCTTCCCTGGACCCTTCCCAGACAGGCCGTGGCTCAATACATCATCCGAGGTATTAGCCAGGGCTTCGCATTGGGGTGAACCAAAAGACGGAACAAACTCCTGACGGAACCTAAAATCGCATACGAGCATCCCGAAGTGGTATCAGCATATCTGCAGCGAGAAGTAGATCTGGGTAGATGCTACCCCTCTCAACACTAGCCCGATCTGGTCCCCCCTTAATCAGATAGTCCATTCGGAGTGATTCCGAAGAGGTATAAGCCCGACAAATGGCGCTTGATAACAGACTTATCTTCCCAGAAGGAACAGCGTTAACGATGCAATATTCGGAGCTCTGTTCCGTCTGCTAACATCCGTAACACGGCAGACGAGCTAATTCATACGCTGGGAAAGGATGTCCTACTGGCGAGCTTGACCTGCAGGAGGCCTATCGGGCGTACCTGTGCATTCCGTCGGACCAGGGACTGCTGGCAAGTGTTGCTTGGAGGGGTACCTCTACATTGATAGTGCCCTACCGTTTGGGCTCCGCTCAGCCCCCAAGATATTTTCCCCTCACTACACGATACAATGATGTGGATTGTTGCACAGAAGAGGAATTGCAATTCGCCATACACTACCTTGACGATTTTTTGGGTCTAGGCCCAGCAGGTCAACCCACGTTCCAACAACATTACCACCACCATCTCTCTCTGGTGAAAGCTCGGCTTTGCATTGGCCCCAGAGAAAACTTGAAGGCCCAACAACCTCACTTACCTTCTCGGGATAGAGATGGATCATGGAGGGGGCAGTAAAGCTACGCTCCCCCCAAGAGAACTAACAAGGCTTAGCAGCACAACCATCCCACAGTGGATGAAGGTCCTTACCGGCCACTTGCCCCACTCAGTCGGGGAAGAAACGTGATCTGCTCTCTCATTGGCTTACTAAACCACGCGGCGTTCCGTTGTCCGCCAGAATGGCATTCCTTTCGCAAGCCCCCCACACTTAATGCACGACGCGTAGCATCAGTGGGTCTGAGCTGGATCAGTTGGCCCTCTACCCAAAGGGCACAGGTTGACCTTGCCCTGGTGAATTACGTTCCTCAGGTGTGGAAACGGTAACAGTGTTTCTCTCCCATCCCATTTCCAGCCTCGTACCCAAAGAACTACGGTCACTGGGGTTTCCAACAACACGCGCTACAGTGGACATCGCGATCTGGGTGCATCTGTTGATCTTCTTCCTTCATAATGCATTGCCGCCTACCACCCCGCTGCAGCTTACAGATCTTCCAACGCCGCTACGAGAGATTCTGCATAAATACGATTCTCCCCTCTCTACCCACTAAGGGAGTCAACATTTGCAGCTTGTAAGCGTATTTGCGAAGGAGGGCCTCAAACAATCGTACAAATTAAGGCATACCTCTCCGGAATACGGTTCTACATATACAGAATATCGTTAGCAACCCTTTCAAGTGGCACATCCCCGCTTGGAATTGGTCCTGGAGTATCAAGGGGTGGAATCACGGATTATCATCCCTTTCCCCGCACCAGACTGCCCATAAGTACCATCTCCATCATGCGTCAGCTGAAGCAGTCTGGATGACAGCGAACCCGGCGAGCAGACCACTCATGCTCTGGTAGCGGCGTGTACATGTTTTTTTTGGGTTTCTCCGTGCCGGAGAGTTTCCATACAGTGCCTCTCCCTCAGCGAGTACACTCTGATGTCACCTCAATCTCAGGATATGGCTATCGACGTATCATCGTCTCCCTTCAATGATACGCTATGCATTGGATCATAGCAAACTGATCCTTTCGGCAAGGCATACACGTTCCTTGGCAAGACGAGGCGGCGTATGCCCATCCCAGCCTCATAGATAATTGAGTGCGCAATCTGACCCTGGGCCCTCTATTCATACGGAGCTCTGGTGGTGCCTCCTCACTACACGCCTTTCCTGTGGTTCAGACTGAAGGTGCACTGAAATCATTGAAGGTATGACGATTCCCTTTACAACGGCCACAGCTTCCGTATTGGGGCGGCCACCACGGCGCCCAGCGGGGCTTGCAAGACTCCTTATTCAGCACCCTCGCATGTGGCGGAGTTAGAGCGTATAAGATATATATTCAACTTCCCCGAGAACACTTTGCCGCAGCTCTCCCTCTGGCTAGGGGATATTGAAATACTGTCGTTTGCATCTCTCAGTGTAGGTTGTGTATTATTTTGTTTTCTTTTCTTTCCTTACCTCGTTTGAGGTATAAAGAGGAGTCCCGGAGGTGGGTATGATGCAGGGGACCAAGCTGGTGTACCAGCTTTTATGGGTCTCGTCGCCATGGCTGTAAGTCCGCATGCTAATAAGGTAAACCAAAGTTAATTATGGGGTTGTGCTTGGTGCAAGGGCAATTTGTTATCCTGGCAGTATGGCGGGGCTTACTGCGAGCATCCTGTTAGCATTATGATACGTCATAGAGCAGCGCCCCCATAAGTATGGGGAACTAGCCATGTCTGTACAGTTGCCCCCGCTAATTCGCAATGCTAGCCCCGCCTCTGACCCTTGCACGATACCTCCACCCACCCACCCATTATATAATTAAGAGTTGTTAGGTTTGTTTTGCTTTGTGTTGTGTATCCGATAAGTGTCAAAGGATTTTTTCACCCCTGTTTCCACTTGTTTTGGGGCTTTGTTACCGCCCACCCGCTCTGTCACTACCCTCAAGAATCTCCCCTTTGCCGTCCGCGCCCGAGCGCGAGGAAGAGCGCGACCGTCTCGAGTGATCTCCCTAACAGGCTAACCGGAAAGGCGAATAATGAATAACTCCCATCAGCGTAAAGTACTGACCCGAGACCGCAGGCCCGGATGTGCTACAGCAAACGAATTCGGTCATCAGGTGGATGGCAGCAGAACAGGAAGAGGCCAATTGTGTAAAGTTTATTTTGCGTGTTTTGGATCCTACCCGCGGTTCGATTCGCCCGACCTATGGCCATCCGCGTTATCGCCTGCATCGTGGGGAGATTCCTTGTAGTTTGTTCACACCGTAGGCCTTTTGTTGAAAGTGTGGTTTGTCTGTAAGCGGTGCTTCTTTTTAGGAGGGCAGTTTCGTTTTTATCTTCCTCCCCCCCCCTCTTTCCCCCTCTGTTTCTCGCCCCTCTCCCTCGTCTCTCCCCTTCTCTTTCTCCTTCCCCTCCCACCCACCCCCCCACCGACGTGCCAACTGTGGACAGCACAGAGCCCCGGCAGTTCCCAGTGCGTGGTTTACCGTCGCGCATTTGGCAGTGGTTCGGGGCAGCGAGGTACCCGTTTCCTGCAGTTGTGCGAGGCCAGCGTGTGCCTCACTTTTCGTATTCTAAAAAAAAATAGAAAATAAAAAGAAAAAACCCCCCCCCCTTCCAGCCCCCCGCCCCTGCCCTCGCCACTCTCTCAACCCCCCGCCCCCAATCCCGCCCGTGGTTCCGCCCCACTAGCTGCCGCCATTCACGGTCTCCAAGGCCACCAACGGTCTGGTGAGCTACGATCTCCCTCAATTCATGGTATGCCTGGTATACCCAGGCCATCAGCGCCTGACTTTGTTACAGAGACCTACGTAAGAGGCGCCATCTCACACAGCGACTACCTATCTCCTTACCGGACCTGCCGGCACGTGATCAGTTCGATCAAGAGAAGAGGTTCGCAGTCGGGCTTCTGGAAGGAGTTTGTTAACTGAAAAGGAGAGACAGATGGGATGTGGGGGAGGTGGTTGGGAATGAGGGTGAAGGTCGCTCCCACCCCCCCAACGTAAGGCCGGCGACTGTGTGTGATTCTCACGGTCGTATAGAACAGACCACGAGTATGGGTGATCGCTGGGTTTGCTCGTAGAATAGAGCTTCCACAGCGAGAGGGTCCCCGAGCGGGTTGTTCCTCAGCTGATGCGCAGGGCAGGGAACAGACCACCAAACGGCACGGGCCGGTGAGTCCGTCTCGCGCCCATTGGCATCGCCATCGATCGCTACCACCTGCCCTGTGGTCTTCCGCGGATCGGCTAGGAACCAGATTCTATACCAAAACCTCCGGCTCCTTCAGCCATCTTCAGTGCCCCCTCACCAGACGTTTAAACTTCGCGTCTCAGGGGGCCTATCATCGACACATGGAAGCGCGGTCCACGTAGAGGCGATCCCGGCCTTTCCGCATGAGAAACGCCGGTCCGCGGTAGCCTCCGGCTGGCCTCGATAGCGGACCGTAGAGGGCCCCGAGGACGTCCGTCTCACTGCTCCGGCTGCTCGCCGCCTACGAGATTGCTGAAGCACGAATAGCCCGCGCGTTTCTCCTCCACCTATCCTCGCCTCAGCTGATTTTTCCGCTCCGTATCCGGCTTCCCCACCTATCTTTCTCTCGTCTTCAATGGGTCTCACCTGATGAAGTCTTGGTAGGGCCGTCCCGTTCTGCGTAGGTGGCGTACACCTAGCGGGCGTATTTTCTCCCTCTTACTGGCTTAATTTGGTTGTTGCGGCGCAAAGATTTCCAATTGGAGGTCGGTCGACAAAAGATAGGGACTCTGAAGTGCCGGGTTCTTGGGATGTTTATTTTGCTGCGGTGTTCCTGCCTTATTGCTTATTTCGTCTTCACCTGTACCATTATGGAGCTGCTTTCAATCGTCTTTTCCCTCCCGCCCCCCCCCGATATGGGTGCTTTCCATTCATATAGGCGTCTTGGATGTGGCGATTGTCTGGTAGCGGCAATTTTTTTGCCTGGGACCTTTTCGTTCCGAGTGATTTGCTACGAATTAGCCCCTTTTCCTTCTTCTTTGTGCTTCCGAATATCTCTCCGAACTGCTTTTATCCTTCGTTACAAGGCAGGGTTCTTTCCCATCTCTATCCCTTCGATAACGGGGCGGCAAGGAGATCCCGCACATAAAAGTATTGGGAACGAGCCATTAATGTATTTGCCCCCTCTAATTTCTCAAAAAATTCTTATCGCCTCTTTAACCCTTCACCATACCTCCAAACCAACCCCATTAGATCATGAGGGTTGTTTGTTTTTGGCGAATTGTTGCGGTTTGCGTTAGAATCGTGAGTTTCCCGGCCTCCCTCCCACTGCCACCCCCCCCCATTGGTTGTAAAGCGGTGGCTACCACACATTTAACCTAGAGTAACAAGTATTGTTTTCTGAAACCCATACCTCCAAACCAACCCCATTAGATAATGAGGGTTGTTAGGTGTGGCATTGGTGTAAACGGTGGGCCCACACATTAAATGGCGTTTAATGAAAATTAGACGAAGTTAATGGGGGGGACATACCGTTGCTAGGCTGGGGGAGGTGGGGTGCCCCACCTCTGCCCACGGTGGCGCCTCCTCAGCGGCTCGCAACTGCGCATGTGCATACCGCAACCACGTGCAAACTGGGAAGCAACAGCAGCACGCAGGCAGTTCCCAGTGCTGAGTTACCGTCGCCGGCAGGTGGCGGGGCAGCGAGGACAGCGTGTTCCTCAGTTGTGCGAGGCCAGCGTGTGCCTCATTTTCTTTTCTATTCCCTCCCTCCCTACCCATTTTTCACTCATTTCCATCCCCACCTTCGGCTATATCGCTTACTTAGCCAACTCTTATCTTTGCCCATCTCTTTGATGTGGCCTTCGTGCAAGGGTCATGGGGTGATAGGTCAGCCAGTGGCTGTAAGTCCCATGCTAATAAGGTGAAACCAAAGTTAAGTAGGGGGTTGTGCTTGGGGCAAGGGGCAATATTGGTTAGCCTGGCATTATGCGGGCTTACTGCGATCAGCCTGTTAGCATTATGATACGTCATAGAGCAGCGCCCCCATAAGTATGGGGAACGAGCCATGCAATGTAGTTGCCCCCGCTAATTCGCAATGCTAGCGCCGCTGACCCTTGCACGATACCTCCAAACCAACCCCATTAGATAATGAGGGTTGTTAGGTGTGGCATTGGTGTAAACGGTGGGCCCACACATTAACCAGAGTACAAGTATTGTTTCTGAAACGCCTGCTGCACGTGTGGCTGGCCTGTGTCGTCTGACTCCCGTCAAGCTAGCAGAGGAGCCACGAGTAGCGTAAGCCAGCCCATCAATTAGTGGTACAGATCCATAGTTGTTCACGCGCGTGTGTGCGCCGATGGTTTGCACTTATAGTCATTTGGTTATTCCCAGTTTATACCCTCACTTCCTAGTATTTATGCATACATGAAATGCTTACACGGCACGTGTTGTGTAACAATAATTGTGTACCATTAATTGTGTGTGCACATAAAATGAGTATGAACCTAGAGAGTCCAACAAGACACGTACGTATACACGTGTTCATGCAAATGCACATTGTAGTAATGTTACACTATATTATGGAGTGAACGCACATTGTAGTAATGTTACACTTTATGGAGTGAACGCACATTGTAGTAATGTTACACTATTATTAATTATTATGGAGTGAGCGCACATTGTAGTAATGTTACACTATATTATGGAGTGAACGCACATTGTAGTAATGTTACACTATAATATTACGGAGTGGTGTCTCTCTGTCTGCAGGTGATTCACATTGAGCGTCCGTTGCGCTGCCAGGCCTGGTGCTGCTTCTGCTGTCTCCAGAAGATTGAGGTCCAGAGTCCACCGGGGACAGTGGTGGGCTACGTGAAGCAGGACCTGAGTTTCATCTACCCCTGGTTCACCATCGAGAATGCCGACGGCGAGCCGGTGCTCAAGATCAAGGGGCCCTGCTGGACCTGCAAGTGGTGCGAAGTCGAGTTTGAGGTCCGCTATAATGATTGTCACAGTTGTACCTCTATTGTACAATTGTGTGTGTAGGTACAGTCAGGCATCAAACATGTAGGTCGTCTGCTTTACGAAGTGTCCACGAGTTTGACTGTATGCCACCTCCTTCATTTGCTTTCACGTGCATGTTGTTGTGCATACTGTATGGTTGTGTACATGTACACAGCTTGTGTAACTACATACATACAAACTAATGTGGCACAAACATCGTTTGACTTACGTAATCACAGTGAACTAGGATAATTATGCGGTGTAAGTGGATGTGTACTGTGTGGTATGCCTTTGTGGCAGCAATGTACAGGTGCACTAGGCAAAGAATGGCCTAAAAGCAGTGCTCCATACGGAAAAGAATAATTTCTTGCCTTTCAATGCATTTCCTACATTTCCTTGTGCATATAAGGATATAATTATGTATGTATAAAAATTTTCCGTGTATGCAAGGCTTGTGTATGGCCATATAACTCACCCACCACATGGTAACGTGTACTTAACAACCCAATTGAATACATACTACATGCCTGCCCGAGCTCCCCCTTGAGTAATGTTGCAACTTACACTGCGGTTTGTGCATTTATCTTCCTCACCCCCACAAACACACACACACCCACTGCTGCACGCATTATACACACATTGATGTATAATATGCCAAGGCTATATTCTTGTGGTTATGTGAATGCATTTGGACATAGTATGTAAGTATTGGTAATCATTATGCACTGTCTATTCAAAAACCACCTGACCTCTATTCAACAACCACATTGGCTTGCTTTGTCCACATGCAAGTCATACTGTTCATTTACTATACATACTCTACGTACATAGGTCCTCTCAGTGAATGGAGAACAGCAGGTGGGGAAGATCTCCAAGCAGTGGTCGGGGCTGGCCAAAGAGTACTTCACTGATGCTGATAACTTTGGTATCCAATGTGAGTAACATACAATGCATTATTGTATTAATGTAAATGTGCAGTATTGATGTAAAACGACATTATATAAGCGAGGATGTATTTCCCTGTCGTCCCTGCAGTTCCAATGGACCTGGACGTGAAGATGAAGGCAGTCATGATTGGAGCTGTCTTTCTCATTGTAAGTTCATAGGCTATGTTATTATCCACCCTCAATAGTGTATATAGCATCATTATCCTGGTTAATTTAAACATCTGTGTACATCTACAGGACTTCATGTTCTTTGAGAGGAGTGGGAACAACTAAAAGTATGGGGAGAAAAACTTTATTCTGTATTTAGAGACCGTGCTATAGCTATGTTTCAGACAAAGTATTGTAATGTGTTTTTATGGCATGCTACACTTGTTTTTATCACACACATGCGGAGTTGAGGCAGGCCTTACTATATATATAGTTGGTAGTAGACAGACAATGCATATTTTCGTGGTGACTGTGCTGGGACGGTGATTACTTAGCTGGAGTTTCAGTGTCCCTGCCTCTCCAACTCTATCCCATGCTAGCTTTGTAATTGTGCTTGCTTGTGTCAGGCTCCGTCATCATGGACTAATACGTGCGGACCTACACCTACACACCTGACCTGGCGGCGTGGGCCAGCGCGCATGCGCTCATCTTAGCCTCGCGGAGCCACGCCTTCTCGATCGCGAGAGGCCGCCATCAGAAGAGAGAGGTGGAGAAACAGACGGAGCTAAAAGGGAAGAAATGCAGTAAGCAGTTAGTACTACCTGAGAGCGTGCACTCACTCACAAACAGATTAGCCACTACCTAAAACATGGTTTTGCAGAGGGAGAAGGTTGGGAATGGTATGAACATGTCTATGGACATGAGACGTGACATTCAGAGGCTTTCAGTTACAATACGTGACTGTTGTACACATAAACGAGGCATTTTGGGATATACTGACCCATGTATACACAGTGCCTGGTTTTGCTGTTGTAACCGGTATTGGGATTATGTCATAGATTTATATGTAGATGGGGGAATGTCATAAGCTGCGTTTACACACAATTTTAAATCCGGATTAGGGTGTCCTGTAAATGCGGCTATAGATATTGAGTAGTACAGTATGTCGGTATAGTACATTATAGTTATAACAGTGAGGGACATAGAGAATAAAGATGATAAAATTTCCTAACCATGAGGCAGAAATGGCTAGGGTTCGATTCTCTTTTTTCACGTTTTTTATCCAAGTGAAAACTCTAAGTGCACTTAGGTGACATCAGAATGACATAATCCTGATACCGGTTACATGAAAAAAGCACCGTTTTTGTGAGCACGATAATTATTGCACAATTTGTTTCCTGAGTAATGTAAAGGCGGTTCAGAAGATCAATGAAGCAGAGCTAAGGCTTGGGGGTTGGGAGTAAATCATCCTGGCATGACCAATACAAGGACAGTGCTTACGTCTTCATTGGTGAGTCACTGAACTTGTACGATTGGCACTCAGTGTGTATGGCACTACATTGTATGGTGTAGCGGAGGAATTTGAATGATGCTGGCAATGTTCACTATACAGGAGGTCTGGACTATGGGCTCACGGAAGGTGATGTCTTGTCAGTCTTTTCACAGTAAGGCACAATCCTAGCCCTTTATTTCCCCTACCAATGGCAATGATATAGCTACCTAATTATTGGAATGACACTCACTGAAACAACACAGGTCACAGCAAAAAACAATGATGCACAACCAGCATGAACATTAACCTTTGAAGGATATGTGATGTTTGTATTATTATTGTCAAGGCACACTGATGCCGGTCGGTCGTTTACATACGAACAATCGTGGACTTGAGACAACCTGGTATACAACGCTCACTCACCAATGACTGAAAACATGTCTAAATCGCTATTTTTAGCATTCAAGCTGTGAAGTTTATAACGTATTCAGGAATCTCCTGCAGTACACTGTTTTTTTTATTCCTTCCTGCTCTGATGTTATGTTGACCCTCTAGGTATGGGGAGATAGTGAACATTAATCTAGTGAGGGACCGGAAGTCAGGGCAATCAAAGGGGTTCTGTTTCCTTGCCTATGAGGACCAGAGAAGTACAGTATTGGCTGTCGACAACCTCAATGGATTCAAGGTAGGGGGCATCCTCACTACTTCCCTTTCTTTGGAAACTACACAATACAGAGATGAGCATCTGAACAAGGGACACTATGGAGCCAACCATTTTGTCCCAGGTCGTCCCAATCTCAGAGATCTATTATATAATACAAGTATGGAGTTGATACAATTAGCAGAGAGGGTCACTTATCAAAGGTTCCACTGTATCGGACTGATGTCATGCTGTTATTTGGAGCAAATTGTACTGCAGCCAGCTTGCACATGCAATGAGAGTGACACTGTTAAAGTGTGCATCTTTTTTTTTATGCGTACAGGGCAGATAGGTGACATGGTAATTTATATAAGCAGCATTTTCCCTTTCATATCATGCACTTTCATAATATCAAAGGTTACTTGTAGTGAAGCTCAGACCCCTGCTGCAGTGCATCTACTGAAAGGGTATAATAGCCAACTCTAACACTTTTGTCCGTGCCTCTCTCACAGTTGTGTGGCCGAACTCTTCGTGTAGACCATGTCCATCAGTACAGAAGACCTAAAGACGAAGATGGAAACGAGATTATTGAAAAGGGGTGTGCCCCTATAACACCGACGCCCAGCCCCACCCCCAGTCCGGAACCTGAACTCTCTGAACCTAAAGCCAAGAAGAGGAAGGTCAAAGACAAAACCAAGAAAGGAAAGAAAAAGGAAAAGAAACCAAAAAAGAAACGTCACAAATAATAGCAAACTTTTACTATGTGCTGCTTCAAAAGCGTTCTTCTCTTCAGCGGTAATTCCTCTTCGATCATAACTGAATATTTTGCTACATGCATTGCAACTGAAAGTAACATTACAAAGTACCTCAGGCCCACCACAATAATAATGTTTACATATTCGCTTACCGGAAAAGCACAGAAAGAAAGGAAAACACCTTTCAGAACTGCACATGTCATGCTACATTATGTCATCAGAAATTATGAGGGAGTTTCAACTACACTAGTAATAATTTTGTATAATAGCTAGTCCCCGTTTATGAAACTTATCATTTCATGCGCAGTCAAGTCAGTTGCTGAAAATAATATGGGAGAATGAGATTAATAGTACTGTTGAAGGTAGTTACGTTTCTTGTAGGCCAGTGTAGTGGTGTTGACAATGGAGCCTGTCCAACGTGGCTCTATCTCTCAGAGAAAGGATGGTGTACCTGTGGAAGCAGTGTTCACGACGTGATGACCTGTGACAATGAAACTCAGGAAGTCAGCATTCGGAGATCATTCTGCCTGACCTCCTTTGACGGAGACACTAGTAAGGCGGTGATTGGTAGCTGTCTCTTTGCCCAGCACCATGGGCATGGAGCAGACAGTGACAAAGGACTATACATAAAGGTCAACGGTAATCTTTCCCAACAAGACCAACAGCTTTGTGGCTATGTTAATCGTGAGGGACAACTCTGTGGACGCTGTAGGTCTAACCATTACATGTCTGCCTATTCCTATGATTTCAAATGCCACCAGTGCCACAATGGGCATACTATAGCTAATGCGGTTGTCTACTTCACTGTAGCATTTTTCCCTGTCACACTGTTCTTGGTGGCTGTGGTTTCGCTGCACATTTCTGTCTCGTCTCCACATCTCAATATACCTATACTTCTGTGCCAGTTGTATAGCTTGCCGGACACGGTATGGGTTTTCTTACAGAATACACGTGGCACCAACTTAGAGGTTTTTGTCAGCTTCGTTGAAACAGTCTATGGAATATGGAACCTGGACTTTTTCAGAGCAATCATTCCTCCGATTTGCCTGCCACTGACCACAATGCAGGTGATTGCTCTGGACTACCTGGTTGCTGCCTATCCTCTCTTCCTGCTAGTGTGTTTCTATGTGCTAGTGACAGCTCATGACAGAGGATGCAGGCTAGTTGTGAGGCTATGGAGACCATTTCTCTGGTGTTCCGCAAGAATCAGACAGCAATGGAACATTAGGCATTCAATCATCGATGCTTTTGCAACATTCCTTATTCTTGCCTACATTAAATTCCTAACAACATCATTTGATCTTCTGATAACTACAGAGGTACTCAATATTCACGGATCCGAAGTTGGCTATTTCTTGTATTACGACGCTACTGTTGAGTTTATGGATCCTCAACACATGCCTTATTTCATCATTGCCATAATAATCCTCGTTTTTACAATAATGTTTCCAGTGCTGCTCATACTCTACCCAATGAAGTGGTTCCAAGTCTTCCTCAACAAGTGTCACTTGAACAGCCCAGGTCTGAGAATGTTCATGGAGTGTTTCCAAGGATACTATCGTGACAGGTCAGATGGTGGACGGGAGTGCAGGTATTTTGCAGCAGTTTATCCGATGCTCAGGATTGTAGCAACCTCTCTCTATGGCCTAACTCACAATAAGCTCTTTTTTGCACTAGCCATTGTTATATTGATAGGGGTTGTGGCCATTATTCTAGTGGTTCGTCCATACAAAAAGCAGCAAGATATTTACAACAAACTTGATGCAATTTTCCTCATGACAATGGTGGTGTTTTGTGCAAGTGTCCTAATTCACGATTTCTCTTTTGAGCTGTTTGTAGTAAGTCCTGATATTGTAGGGAAATCTCTAGGTGGATTATGTTTACTCGCCCCAATGGTCTACTTTACTTCACAAATTCTGAAGAACATGAGACACTCTTCTCACATATCAAAATTTTGTGTTTATTCAAGGAACGGAAGAGAACTGATTATAAGGACCTAAATAATTATGCCCTGCCCCTCACTGGACTCATAAAATTCTCATGACATCGCATTAACATGTTATAATTGCCACTCACCTCTAAACTGATAATAATTATTCTGATCACACCACGCAGGGCTGTTCGTAAAGAATAATGGAAACAAGTGGAAGATTAGGCGGAAGGAATGGCTAGAAGCACCAAAAATGTATATATGTAGGAAACAAGGGTTGGTTACACGGCAAAGACACATAAAGCTACATGACACCATCCAATCCGAATTTGCCTATGAGTTACAATAAAGATATTAATAAGGATGGTGTCTGTAGTTATGTGTGTCTTGCCGTTTTCAACCACTCAATTGTTTCCTTAGTTTTTGGTGTCCTTATCCATTCATTTTTAATAAATCACTTTCCACTACAAGGCATTACATTAGTACGAGTATTCTCCAGTTATTCAGTTAATGTGGAGTCACTGATCTCCAGGGATGACATCATAGACAGTGTCATCCTCTGCCTCCTCCTCAGCCTTAGAGGGAGGGATGGTGGGGAGAGGCTGTCGAGGTGTCACGGGCTCCTCGTAGTCCTCGACTGGTCCCGATGCTGCACGAGGCAGCTGTTGGGCTGAGATGTCCATCATCTCGTAAGTTGCCTCTTCGCCCCGTTTGACCTTTCCATAGGAAACATTGACAGCAGCTACAGGGGTACTGGACTCATACCTGCAGAGGGTAATAGTAAACCAATATTGAGTATGACAAAGAGTCAGAATGTGACAAAATGTATTGAGAAGAGTATGAGTGTTAACAGATAAGTTACATGTACCGGAGTAATCCAAACTATACCGTTGGTTGGAAGATTTGAGTTTAGCTCCTCCACGACGATGTCTTAATCCGAGAAACACGACAGCTACAATGACAATAGCGACAGCAATTATGACAGCTACAGTCACCACCACCACTCCTGCTGTTATAGCTGGTGTAGTAGTGTCAGAACTACTGGTCCCCTCCCCCTCAATGCCGGCAGGCTTCGCTGTTGGGGCTGGAGGTGTTGGAGAGCACTCTGGTTCACTGGGAGAAGAGATGGCTACTGAGCAGTGTGAGTCTACTGTCATGAGTACTCCAGTCACAATGACGCTGGCCCCGCCTCCTCTCACCCAGGCCTCTATCAGAGAGACTAGGGAGCTACTGTCTGTCTCAGAGGTCCCCTCCAGGCTGGCTCGATATGTCACGAATGACGGAGACTCAGGGTAGCAGACAAAGAACGTGTTCTCTATGATGTCACTGGGGGCCTTCAGTACCTTCACAACTGCATCTGTGATGTGCTCTAGCTTCAAAGACCTCTCTGAATTCTGATGAAAGAAGTATTAGCAACCAGTTGAAAAATGATGGCCAAAATACAGAATCTTATTCACACTTCCAACCTCCACATGGTACAAGATAGCTCATAATACAGTGCAGTGCAGTATAAGGACAGCAGTTGTACTCAGCAAGATGCAGCAAAAGGGCATTCTAATTGGCGGCAAGGGAGACTCTTTAGCTACTAGTGTATCAAACTTACCACTTCTTCAGAACACGTGCTAAGAAGTCCACCCAAATGAAGCTGAAAATATGAATCTGCATTAAAAAGAAGTAGGATTCATAGTATGCCAACAATAGATGGTAACTAACTGTCTTCTTTTGTCTTGAACGAGCTGTTAGCAGGAGGTCCGGATCCCTGAGAGTTGCTGGCCACCAGAGAACAGGAGTAGCTAGTGCCAGGAGAAAACCCAGCCAGTCTCAATGATGTTACTTCAGAGGAAGTGGAGTGGGGGAGGGAGGACGGGGAGGGGGAACAGGAGATGGTGTAGCCGGTGATGACTCCATTACGCTGGGTGACAGGAGGAGGGGACCAGGAGAACACAACTTCTCTCTCTCCTGGGACTGCCCCTAACATCTCTGGAGATCCTGATGGAGCTGAAGAGAGAGCGGTCACGAGAACACTTTATAGAATCTCACTGGGAAAGTTTGGTGTAGCTAGCTCCAAACGTCCCCTACACAACACCACTGCAGTAGACCAGGCAACTAACGTACTGTGTACATTCGTAAATACATTCTTGTGTGATTACTTAAACTAACAGTGCAACACTCGCCGTATACACAGCTGCAAAAACATTGGGCGACCCTGCTTGTTTGGCTGTAGTACTCCATTAGACCCATGAACCACTGTATAATATGATGCACATTGGCTTGGCGCAGAGTAGTTGGTCATTTCACATAATAATGAAACCAGAAAATTGAGATGTATAGGTGTAGTAAATTTTATAGTAGGGATGTTACGGCAAAATTTTTAACATAGGAAACAAGGGGGAGGCATACACTGAGAGAACCATTCATACACCCATTACTTATGATCTAGATATACAGGGTTATACAGAGTTTTCATCTTGGTTTAAGCATTCCCCCTTTCCCCTGTTTTTATCCTGACGTGACGTCACAGCATTTGAATACCACATATTATTGTGTACACATACCAATCTCAGTGGTCAAGAGAGAAAGGGTGGAAGGTTGAGACATGCCATCATCAGTAATCGTGAAGATACTGCAGTCATAGGGAGCTCCAGGTAAGAGTCCTGTCACAGTGGCCGATGTATCGCCAGGAGCCAGATGGAGAGGCGGGGGAACAGGGACCCCAGTCAGAAGAGGGACACATGTCAGGTTGTAGCCAGTGGTGAGACTGCCTCCAATGCTGGGCTGGCTCCAGGAGAAGGAGAGGGAGGTTCCCGACACTGCTCTTCCTTCGAAACTTTCAACAGGATAGGCATCTGTATAGCAAAAAGGACAAACTCTGGAACAATTTCAAAGACACCATGAGATGCTTTGTATGTGAGAATCAACTCATATATTCACTTGATTCAAGCAATAAAACACTTGCACCCAAACACTATCGGAGAAGATTTACGGTCCACCAGAACATGCAGCCCAAACATGGCTGCTAAATTACAAACACCAAAAAAGCATTAGTTTTAACTTTACACGCTTTTTTGCGGAGCTCTTTCCTGGAGTTAACATTGCCAAACATACGCACACATAACTATATATAACATTGGCTTGTTAGCAGCTACAGTACACTGCAGCTAAACACTGGGTCACTATCCTAACAGAGTTGCTTTGCCCTTGTTTGGTATGCTCTTATTTGTAATTTGTTTGTGCCAAAACCTGTGATGCAGCGAACATGTACTCAACCCACACTGATAGCCAACACAGAGGCAAGGACCTTTTAGCCTCTTGGCAACTGTTGTAGCTGATCACACCATTGGCTGCTGTTCCATAACCTGTGTTATCTTTGGTGAAGGTCATTTGAGTCCACTAACTCAAACTTGTTCTAATGGTATTATCTAACTCTAATCTATCTCTTACTCTACACTCATGCTACTCACTATTAGTAGCTATAGTAGCAAAATTATTACACACCACTTTAACACAACTTTAGTATGGCAAAACATCTCCTAAATGACGGGGAATGTAGTATATATAAGCTGTCACCTACATTGAGACAGATGGTAGTTAATGGTCCCATTCCACAGTGGTTTTAGCTTTGCCATCAATTCTAAGAGCAGCTTGATCTAATGTTATGCCTTTAACAAAACAAGGATGCACGAATGGGGCCCAGGAACGTTGTCGTATCTTAGTTCAGTAAGTATATAATTTCAGAGACCACTCTTTAACTTACAAACAACATTCAGTGTCTTGGTGACTGAGGCTGAAAGACCGTTAATCCCAGCCCGAGGGATATTGACAGTGGCCACACAGGTATACCGGCCTCCATCAGATGACCTCAGAGGAGAGAATCTGTGCTCCAGGGAACTAGAGCCTGCCACCAGTTTCTCAGTAGAATTGGGAAACACCAACTTCATATCGGGGAGGACCACTAGACCTGCGGCAACACTGGCTGAACACTGCAGGGAGTAGCTGTGGCCATTGACAGGAGCTCCAGAGAAGGACATAGAGACATTTGGTGGAGGGAGAGCTGATAGACAAGGAAAAGAGGAAGTAGTAGTATTTCAACAATGAGAAGCAAAGACAAACCCAAAAAAACCACGACAACTCATTTTTGACCTGGGATACGAACCAATGACACTCTGCAGTCTTGGTGAGCACTTTACCAACTGAGCTACCAGGGCAACTCGGCTGGTATGGGTTCGAATCTACAACACAATACAACACAGGACAAAGGCAAACCTCAAACCACTGTTCTATGGTATACCAATGGTGGAACAACGTACCGGTGACAGAGAGAGTCTCCTCTGGACTGCGTCCGGAGCCACTGTTGGTGATATACTGAGAGTAAGAGTGGGCAGTGGCTGCACAGAAGTACTGGCCGGCATCACTGGTGGCCAGGGGACTGATAGTCAGGGTGGAGACGAAGAGAGAAGGAGAAAGTATAGTGCTTCTGTCACTGGAGACTGCAGCCGTCCAGTGGGTAGTGATGTTGATATCGGTATCCACAGAGGGAGGTAGCGAGGCAGTGCAGTTCAGAGAGTGAGAGGTTCCCTGGTAGAGTGGACCACTAGGATGGGTCAGTGTCACAGTCGGAGCTGGCACTGCGCATAGAAACAGCATAACCATATTCAGAGTTTTAGCTACATGCAAGAGCAATATAAAAGAGAATCATACACAAAGTTTGGTGTGCAAGAGCAGTTATAGAATGGTTAGTTGGTTGAGGCAGTATTAACTATGGTGGCTTAGATGAACTATAGTTACTTACATCTGACGGTGATAGAGGTTGGGGCAGTAGAATAGGAGATGCTACCACCATCTGCAGCAGGAGACTCTAGTGTTCCCGTACAGTAGTAGAGTCCGGCATGCGAGGTGTGGAGTGGAGAGAAAAACAGAGTTAATACTGCAGTTGTAGTGTTCCTGAGAGTCTCTGTCACGATGATGTCATCTCCTGGGACCACTGGACTACCAGACTCCATCATCCAGATAGCTGAAGGCACATGTGTAAGTCCCGGGATAGTCTCGCTGACTGTACAGGTGAGAGTGGGGCCAGAGCTCCCTGCCCCCAGTGGACCAGATTCTGAAATTTCTCTTCTCACTCCCAGGGAGCCAGCAGGAACTGGATAATTGCATATAATTACACATAGAGAGGGTTAACTGTTATCTTACCTACAACTTGTAGAACGATTATCTCAGTGTAAATAGTATCAGTACCCACAGATACACAGGAAAACTGCTGTCCGTGAAGATCATCTGTCACTAGGGGAAGGGTATAAACCAGGGTCGTAAGGTTGTCAGTGTTGCTAGTGCTACTGGCGAGCACATGGGAGGACTGGTTCCTCAGCTCAATGGAGAAGACTCCCACACTGCTGGTGCAGTTAATAGCAGCCGACTGACCCACAATCAGTGCTTCCTCCACACCAGAAATAGTAGTGATTCCTAACAATCACAGTGTTTTCATCCATTATAATAAATTATCACAAAGTACAGTAGTACTTGCATATGGGGAAATTGATGTATAAAGTATGAGCGTGCCTAAAGTCTGTTTGACTTGACCTGGGCCCTTGAACAACTTGCTTATTTTACATCCATTTTCAAAAATGCTTACACCTTTGGAATCCTTGCACTATTTCAATTCTTAGGGACCTATGGAGGCACTACGTGTACATGGCTGGTTAAGGGTTTAAGATTATCACATAGTAATGCCTCACTAACTCACCAGTAACCTCCAGGTCTCTATAGTCGGAGCCCAGAGCATTGGAGACTGTGCAGTTGTAGGTGCCAGTCACTCCCCCTGGAACTCTGTCTCCCACTGTCAGGACATTGGAGTAGGTGGAAGACACTCTGTCAGTGATAGTCTGAGAGAGGAGGTAGTTGGAGGAGCCGTCTGTGGTGAGAGTCTGTCCGTTCTTCATCCAGGTGATGGTGGTAGCCGGAGAACCTGTTGACACACACACCAAAGTGCGGTTCTCCTTCTGGTAAGTCAGTGATGCGATGGTTGGAGGCTCTGTCAAAAGGCAATAACAATCAGCTAATAACCATACTATATACGCAGAGCCTCATATCATTTAAAGGAAATGTGACAGTTTTCTAAGGGCAAAATAATGTAGAAACTGTTACTAAAATGGAAATAGTTGGTAACATCGTTTCTTTTAGTTAGTAACATTTCTAAGTTTAGCCTATATGTACTGCAACATTAGTTTAAAACACCAGGCTACAAACTTTTCTGCATATCTTCAATCACTTACCACTTCGGCCATAATCATACAGTCCGACATGAAGGGATATGCTGAAACCGTTGCTGTCGGGTATTGTGCACGTGTATACCCCTTGGTCCGAGGCCGAGAGTTGCGACAAGGACAGGGTCCAGAGACGAAGGACTCCAGGTCTGCTGAATGGACTAGTTACACTCCACACATCGTGGTCCTGACGAGGAGTAAGTGTGACCCCATGAGGTGTAGTGATAGCCCCCACACCAGATATACTGGAGTTAGAGACACAGTCCAACCACAGAGTACCACTACTGCTGCCCACTATCACTCCATTGTTGGCTATGGGACCTGATGATATCTCCAAGGTGGATGATATGGCATATATACCAGCACCTGGACAAATCACTCAATTCAGCAATGGTCAAGTCACGACCGTTCAACTCACCTACAACAGATACAGGGAAGTTGCTACTGCTGCTACTGCCTGGAGAACCCTTCTCATTGACTGTGCATGTGTACACACCAGCATAGTAGGAATAGAGTGAGAATATCCCCAAGTGCAACTTGGCAGTAGTGGATGATGTATCAATGTCACATCTACTACACCCTGGGGTGCTAGGACTCCCGCTGAGAGACCATCTATAGCTAACAATTCCACTGTGACCCTCAACTAAACACTGCAGTGCTAGGACACTGCCTGCTGTGAACTGGTTAGGGCCCAATTTCCCAGGGATCTCCCCTGGAGCTGGGCTGTAGACTGCAGCAACTCTGACATTCAGAGAGTGGACCTCTGCCGCACACAGCAGAAGGGAAACAAGCAGTAGTAGCAACATTACACCTCCTGAGAATTTTGGAATAGAGACCAATCATACAAACGTTTCTTTTATAGATAGCCAGCTACATAAATTCACAATTCCCAGCGTTGGCTTTAACAATGTTTACCTAAGTGCATACTCTCTCCCTAGCAAAAACCTACATAGCTAGCTAGCTATCCATCTGGCAATAGCTAGCTAGCTAGCTACCGCACTAGATTCTTGTGTGCAATCACAAGGTGTCTGCTGGTAGAAGTTACTTACTCACGTTGATAAGCTTCCAGCTTTAGCTATAGGTATATACCAACAAAGAGAAAGCTCAATCCGCCCGTCACAGCAGCTATCCTAGCACGCATCAGTAGAAAATTTGCTTTGTTTGCACAAACGAAGGATACTATCAGAAACCGGACCGCAGAGCCAGAAACCGACGGCCGGCCAGGCGCCGCTGCGTGTGTGCGCGCGCAGCGACGTCTCGTGACGCACAGGTTTTGCGTCAATGCGACCGAATCCCGATGCCAACTTACTTCTTAAATGTAGTCTGGAAACTAGACTCTAACAAGGCACGCGCACGCGAAGGGGCGAGGATTACGGGGCGCCGTTTGTTCCAAAACTCATTCTCCAAAAATGCATTATCAATGTTTAGGATAATATGTAGGGTAATGTCGTCGTCGGTTCATGTCGATTTATAGATTTCACGGTCGATATACAGAAACTGCAATGTCTACCATGATGTTGCGTTTTGGAACAAATGGCGTGTAGTTCAAAACTCTGTCCCACAGTTAGGTGACAGATTCTGCAGCTATTTTGTAGAAAGTGACGACCGACTTACAAATATTAATTTTCCGAATTAGAAATGTCATGCTTCGATTTGCAAATGTTCCAGTGAAAAATACAAATAGTTTTGTCCATATACGAAGAGTGTGGTACATATTATCAGAGCTAAAACGAGGCTGCCGCCCATCCAATGGGGTGTGGTGTGCGCATGCGTGAAACGGACTCCGGCCTACCGCGCGCTTTGGCACTCCGAAGCGCGCGTCCTTTGCAGCTCCCGTCTAGTTATAGTTGCCGAATGCATGGGATTTTTGGCGAGCGGGAGCGCGCACACAATGACTGTATCTGCACGAGCCATCCTAGCAGGGTACCGGGTGTAGATCGAAGCGTGTTATCCTGGCGCATGCGCAGGTAGCACATGCGCGCGCTGCAGCGTATCCTCAACACGCATGCGCACTAAGGGTCGTTATGTGCGTCTATCTGCCGACGCTTATTCTGGCTACGAGGCTGCCTATTGGCGATCAGCGGCTTCAGAATTACATGAGCCTGAAAATTGTAAAGGCGACAGGTCAACATCCACTCTTCCGTTGCTCGTGATGGTTGAGTAGTGGTTTGTTCTTGCTCCTATCAGAGCGTCGGTAGACGCTCTATATAGGGATGACACGAGTGAAATCTCACGTGATCCACGTACAAAACGCCTCAAAACTCAGCGACAATGACTCACCATGGCTTCAAAATCACTAGCAATAGTCTAGAGGCCAATACCTAGCTATACATATGCCCCAAGACTTCCTACGTGCCCTCAGTTCCCCACGAGAGAATTCGCACTTACGCGATTTCGCGATTTTCGTGTCATCATAATCATCATATTCTTCTCTTCTTCTTCTTCAGACCCGCTAGCTCCTTACCGGAAGCAGTTGAAGCGTTGATTTTTTCACAGAACGTCTCCAAATTTGCCGGAGGTGTGCACGCATATCAAGCGATCGCTTGTTTCTTGCCGCAAGTCACTACGGTAGATCGTTGAGCTCTTCCACAGTAGTCACTGGACAACGCCATTTGCTGCTAACTCAGCATCAGTGAGCCGCATGCGCCGAGGAGGGCGTTTCCCCAATGCGGTGCGCGCGCATTACTATAGTCTCGTGCGTGAACCAGGTCTACGAGACTAAGCCAGGATGCCTGCAGAGGAACTCTTATCCTCCAGTGCCTTCTGTAAGTCAGTATACACATTTTTAACTGGCTAGCTTACGTTTTGCTGTTGATTTGTACGAGGAGCAACTTGGCAGTGTGCGCCGTGTTACGCGGGCCTTGCCCAGCGCCTTCATTGTTTGTCCCCCAGGTTATAGCTATCATTGTAGTCTGATTACTGAAGCCTGCCTACGAAACCACCCCACCATATGTGCCACAACCTAATTGCATCGTTGTTGGAGACACTACGCATACACCCTGCTTCAGGTACATTAGCTTCTGCTTTCAACAGTTATCTCTACAACACCCATGAACATCAGAGTGACTGAAAATGCAGAAGGCATGAAAAATAGCGGAAACAAGTGGAAAAATCATTTCTTCAAAATGAAGGGGTGATATAGCACGCTCCAAAATGTTGTAACAACGTATCCATGTGTGCGTCCTGTAGTAAAGCAGGAATGCTGATACACAAATCATGAGAACGAACACCATTCTATGTAACTTTGTAGACAACTCAAAAACCGCATCCTTTCTGTAAAAAAAAATTGTCTCTTGAATTTGAGCCTGCCGATGCACATTTCTCTGCTCCCACTTCCTCCCTCCCTTTCTTACCTTTCTTTCCCTCTCCCTTCTCCCAATCCCTCCCTGTCTAAGGTCACCCAGCTCAGGTGCCAGTGGTTCGGGAAGCCTTCTCTCCCACTGAAGAGAGGGTGCTGGTCTCATTTCTTCCTTCAACCACCACCAACACTCTGGCAGGTCAGTCTGCTACACTACTTGTAGTGTCCTATTCATACCACGTGTGTAGAAATAGGAAGTTATGGCAGAATATTATTGTAATAGCCTGCGCATAATCACAACTTGTTATAATTATACTGTACAATACAAAAACTTACTTGGAACTAAACAACAACACATTCTTCAACACGGTTCAGTGCTCCAAATCCACCCACTATGATGATCTTCTCAGGTGATGGACTGGCTACTAAACAGTAGTTCCTACCACTAGTCATAGAACCAATCTCCGCCCACTGTCCATCCACTAGCTGGTGAACGGAGTTGACTAGTGACATACCTCGCCTGGCACCAATGATGAGTACTAGCTGTCCACAGAGAGTAGCAGCTGTTGAGTATTCCACTGGTAGAGGAGGGAGAGATGTCCATGATATGAGGTGTGGTATTGACTGTGGTGGGATTGGTTTGTCACTGGATGGTAGAGCTGCAAGAGAACACGAGTAGCCTTTACCATCTCCTACCACATGTACTATATCACCACATATTGTGGCTGAAGGGAGGGTGAGAGGTTGTGGTAAGTCTGTTAGTTGGTACCATCTTCTGCTCTTGAATTGAAATAGTTCAACTGTAGCAGTCCAACCAACACCACCAGACCCCCCAATCGCAATGAGGTATTCGCCATCGGATGTACTAACTACAGCAGACCTGGAAGGTCCAGTGTTCATTGGAGGGTATTTCTCAACCCATTTCCTCTGTCGCAGTGTGTATAGTTTGCTAGTACGATGAGATCCATCCCGTCCCCCAACAGCAGTTAGTTCCCTGTCAATAATGACTAGTCCAGAATCCTGATATGGACATGAAGGAAGTTCCTCCCATTTCTCTGTACTACATTCATATTGGTAGACTGAGTTGGAGTAACGTGGGGTGAAGTATGCAAATGTACCATCAGTTGTTGCAGATCCTCTAAACATTTCACGTGGTGCTGTCTCCTTAAGATTACACTGCACAGTGAGCTGAGGGGAGATCACATGACATGTAATGACATCATAATCAAGAACGATATCCGTAACACGACTCACATAATTAAACATTGTATTTAAAAATCAAAATCACAAAACGGCAACATTAATAGGCATGGCTTCAATCACCATTCACCATATCCCAAAATTAAATATTTAATATGCAAACCTTTCTTGGTTTAATATTGACTGGCGTGGAATGTGGTACAGCTGTTGGTAGAAGACTAGGCTGGGTCTGTGAGGGTGGAGTAACAAATAGCAGCATTCACAGGCAGTGCATATGGGGTTAATATAAGTATATACGAAAGTCAGAAGGTAAATGATTACAGGTTGAGGTATATACAGCTGCATGTTGCTTTGCTAGACAACCAGACTGAGTCTGAGAGGAAAGCGTGGAGTAAATTATTCACAGCCAGTAAGACTGACCTTTGTCCTCTGAGTCGGCTCTGAGTCTCTCTGCTGGAGAGTCTTCTGGAAGTCAGCCACTGGAGCCTCACTTGATCGCAGCTGTTTTTCCTGCAGTCGGGGTGGCCTCTAGTCACAGACACATCCTGCAGTTATCACTATTCACCTTCTGTCTCAGTTGGTGCTGAGTCTCAGCTAACTCTGCTTGAAGCTGCTGCTGTTCTCTCCTGGTAGTCTCCTCTGCTCTTGTCAGCTCTGCTCCTTGTCTAGCCAGCTCTTCTTCCTAAAATCAGAAAGAAAGCGTCATCACCTACTTATAAACATGGCAAATGCACCTTCTGTCTCAATTGCTGCTGAGCCTCAGCGAGCTCCCTGTCCTTGGCCTATGAGAGGGAGGATTCGTGCCAGTACTCATTATGCTTCTATATACCACGGCATACCGATTTGCCACGGCAATGCCGTAGTGTAATTCTCGGCCACAGCAAAACTGAGTAACTGTTACTCTTTACCTGATTCCTGAAGTGTAGTTCCTGCACGCTTGAGTGGAGATCTGCATTCTCCTGATATTTTCGGAATTCGCTATAAAACTCTATTTTTATGACAGTATCAGTGAGACCCTCACCTGGTTCCTGGACTGCAGCTGTTGATGTAGCTCCTGCACATGAGACTGCAGATCTCTCTCCAAACTCTGCACAACACAAAATCGAGTTTTAAGTTGCAGAGACCACAGCATTACGGCACACACACTTCCTCACCTGGCTCCTGGGCTGAGTCTGAGCAGCTTGCACCTCTTCCCATCCGCTGTCTCTGGCTCCAGCTCTGGCCTCTTCCAACAGACGCAGCACCTCACGAATGCTCGGACGTTTGTGAGGACCGTTGTGCAGGCATTGCTGGATCAGCCGAATGAGAGGGTGGTCGCCACGCAGCTGGCCACAGGCACGGAGTTGCTCGTTCACGTGTCGCATGTACTCGCTGCGTCGCTGTAGTTCAGTGCGAGCTACTAGCAACCCAGTTTCATCATTGAGATAGTTGGGCTCTAGAGGATCACAGGGGAAGACCTCACCGATTGTGAAAATGGCAACTACTCCAAGAGAGAATACATCGATACTGGAATCGTATTTTGACTTTTGGGCATTCGATTTAGCAGGAGCACTGGCTTCTGGAGGCATGTAGACCGAGGCCCCAGGTCCCTTTGTCATGGTGGCTGCAGCTCTCATACGAGGCACGATACGAGACACGCCCAAATCCACGATCTTGGCTACCATCCCCGAGTTCAGGAGCACGTTTCTGGCCGACAAGTCGCGATGGATGACGGGCGGCGTTCGCTCGTGGAGGTAAGCTAGACCGCACGCCACGTTGTGCAGGATCGAGCACTTTAGGCTCAGCGGGAGAACGGCTTGGGCGTGTTGGGCGGGGGAGGCGGGTCCGTTTCTGGGTCCAGAAAGTCGTGCAGGCTAGTTAGCAGGCGCTCCATGACGAGGGCTGGCAGTCGCGAGCCGGGAAAGAAGGCGACGCCCAGAAACTTGACGATATTCTGGTGGTCGAGGGTGCTCATAAGCTGACATTCCCTCACGAACTGGGCCGTGGCTCTGCGGATCTCGGCCGCGGGGATCTCGGAGCGGTCCAGGAAGATGTCGTGGATTTTTTTGGCGGCGCAGATGACTCCAGGCACGGCAACTTCCTCCACGCTGCCGTAGGCTCCGGCGCCGATTCTGATGCCAGTGAGTCGCACGTTGGGGAGGACGAACGGCCGAAGCTCAGGATACTCGGCGAGAAGGCCTTCCGCCGAGCCTTCCGCGGCCATTTCTCGTGCTGCGGGTCACGACAGTCTGATCTTGCTGGTCTCAGTCAGTAGCCACAGTTCAAGATGAAGATGACGAGTCTTGACGACCAGGGCCCTGGTGCCCAGACGCTTCACTCCACTGGCCAAGGCTGGAATGCTGGAAAAGGTGCTGGTATGCAATTAATAACCGCACAGGGACCGCGGATAGGGCTTCAAGGTGTGCGTGTTATAAATGGGAACGCCATAACTTTAAAACACAGTAGTTTTACGAAAATCGCCTTTTTTAAAATCAACTCAGTGTAGCACTGAACCCGATCATATCGTTATTTACCTGATTTCGTGCGCGCGGTGGCAGAAAACGTGGTAACAGACAGACTGACAGACTGACAGACGGACAGACTGACAGACACACTTACGAAACAACTACCGTAACCCTCGCTGCGCATGCGCGCCGAGGGTTAATTAGGCCCCTCCATCTGCCTCAAGGAAGCGAAGATCCTATGAAGAACAGGAGAGACAGCCACTAAGAGGCAGGATAACTGAGGATTTTATGAGCAGTAAATCTGAAACTATTGAGAAAGGGAGCATTACTCTGCTGGAAAATCTTTTACTAAAGGGTATAGTAATGTACTTAATTGCACATGGACTGGCAATTACATCAAAAACTGTGCTGAAAATGTTTAAAATCATGCATTTCATATCCATGCACTGCCAGTACATCGACTTTCCAATCTTTGATCGAACTGAAAGTTGCATAAAGAAATTTCTACATAAAATACTTCATGTACTTGAACTGTTTAACTATCACAACTTCTAACTGAACATTGTAGTTGAACATTGAATATCACATCATGTAACAATCATGTCCACTGTATAAAAATCATTTAACTGAACTATTATGATATTCACTAACGAACATCAACAGATATGAGGGTCAACACACTAACAGAATGAACACCTACAACAACTTATTGAGATACACAACTGATCATCATGGCAAAGGTTGCAGCAATTATATATGATGCCTACAAGGTATTGCACCCTAACCTAAAACATTGGTATAGCGCTCCCTCTGCTACTAAGAGCTCCATCAGCTACCTCTGCTACCAGTGCTCCCTCCTACTAGTGCTCCCTTAGCTATATACCTCTGCTACTAGTGCTCCCTCTGCTACTAGTGCTCCCTCTGCTACCAGTGCTCCCTCTGCTACCAGTGCTCCCTCGACTACCACTGCTCCCTCAGCTACCTCCGCTACCAGTGCTATTAGTGCCCCCTTAGCTACCAGTGTTACTAGTGCTCCCTCTGGTACCAGTGCTCCCTTAGCTACCAGTGTTACTAGTGCTCCCTCTGCTACCAGTGTTACCAGTGCTCCCTCTGCTACCAGTGTTACCAGTGCTCCCTCTGCTACTAGTGCTCCCTCAGCTACCAGTGCTCCCTCTGCTACCAGTGCTCCCTCGACTACCACTGTTCCCTCAGCTACCTCCTCTACCAGTGCTACTAGTGCTCCCTTAGCTACCAGTGTTACTAGTGCTCCCTCTGGTACCAGTGCTCCCTTAGCTACCAGTGTTACTAGTGCTCCCTCTGCTACCAGTGTTACCAGTGCTCCCTCTGCTACCAGTGTTACCAGTGCTCCCTCTGCTACTAGTGCTCCCTCAGCTACCAGTGTTACCAGTGCTCCCTCAGCTACCAGTGTTACCAGTGCTCCCTCTGCTACTAGTGTTACTAGTGCTCCCTCAGCTACCAGTGCTCCCTCTGCTACCAGTGTTACCAGTGCTCCCTCAGCTACCAGTGCTCCCTCTGCTACCAGTGCTCCCTCGACTACCACTGCTCCCTCAGCTACCTCCTCTACCAGTGCTACTAGTGCTCCCTTAGCTACCAGTGTTACTAGTGCTCCCTCTGGTACCAGTGCTCCCTTAGCTACCAGTGTTACTAGTGCTCCCTCTGCTACCAGTGTTACCAGTGCTCCCTCTGCTACCAGTGTTACCAGTGCTCCCTCTGCTACTAGTGCTCCCTCAGCTACCAGTGTTACCAGTGCTCCCTCAGCTACCAGTGTTACCAGTGCTCCCTCTGCTACTAGTGTTACTAGTGCTCCCTCAGCTACCAGTGCTCCCTCTGCTACCAGTGTTACCAGTGCTCCCTCAGCTACCAGTGCTCCCTCTGCTACCAGTGCTCCCTCTGCTACCAGTGCTCCCTCTGCTACCAGAGTTACCAGTGCTCCCTCTGCTACCAGAGTTACCAGTGCTCCCTCTGCTATTAGTGTTACCAGTGCTCCCTCTGCTATTAGTGTTACCAGTGCTCCCTCAGCTACCTCTGCTACTAGTGCTCCCTCTGCTACCAGTGCTCCCTCTGCTACCAGTGCTCCCTCTGCTACCAGTGTTACCAGTGCTCCCTCTGCTACTAGTGCTCCCTCAGCTACCAGTGTTACCAGTGCTCCCTCAGCTACCAGTGTTACCAGTGCTCCCTCTGCTACTAGTGTTACCAGTGCTCCCTCTGCTACTAGTGCTCCCTCAGCTACCAGTGTTACCAGTGCTCCCTCAGCTACCAGTGTTACCAGTGCTCCCTCAGCTACCAGTGTTACCAGTGCTCCCTCAGCTACCAGTGTTACCAGTGCTCCCTCAGCTACCAGTGTTACCAGTGCTCCCTCTGCTACCAGTGTTACCAGTGCTCCCTCTGCTACTAGTGCTCCCTCAGCTACCAGTGCTCCCTCTGCTACTAGTGCTCCCTCAGCTACCAGTGTTACCAGTGCTCCCTCTGCTACTAGTGCTCCCTCAGCTACCAGTGTTACCAGTGCTCCCTCAGCTACCAGTGTTACTAGTGCTCCCTGTGCTACTGGCTGCTACCTACAGGTGCCTCAATTCGCATTAGGACGAGTGGGCTTATGGGCGCTTGAGACTGATTGGATCCACCTTACTTGTGCCATCTACCCATATCACGCAGTCGGCGTTGAGAAGCCCGCTCCCTATCACGCAGTCGGTGTTGACAAAGCCGAGCCTCTCTCTGATCAGGTGTCTCACGGGCACGACGTTCTCTTTCCCGCTCTCTTCGACGACGAAGGGCATCCTCTGTAGACTGATGATCCATGGTTGCCACGGTTGTCAGTGTAGCACACTTGCGCTGCATGTATGTAACGAAGCTGCGCATGCGCACTTACACGACGTATATACGCGGTCCATCGCGCGGTTGGAACCACTACTACTAGTTTAGGCGAATGCATGGCATTTTTGGCGAGCGGGAGCGAGCACACAATGATTGTATCTGCACGAGCCATCATACTAGTAGACGAATGAGCCATCATAGCAGCGTACGTGTAGAAGCGCGCTATCCTGATGCATGCGCAGGTTACACGTGAAAATAATATGCGCGTCACGAAGCCGCGCATGCGCACTTACACGACGTACGCAGTAGTCGTAGCGCCGTTTTTGCTCCCGCTCGCCAATAATAGGCTAGCTCGCTCCCGCTCACCAATAAATGTCAAGATCGATGTCGTCGTCGATTTAAAAATGTGGCAGGGGGAGGCCTGGTAAAGTAAGGTAAAGGGGGGTAACTTCGGACACGGGGTAATACCCGGACATACATTCGGATGAATTTCACTTGATTACTACCTACCAAAGCGCTAACAAATCTTCCTCGTGTTTTTTTCGCAGCGCATAATATCGAGGCTGGTGCAACGCCCGATGTCCGGAGTTACCCCCATTTACCTTATCTCTTTCCCAAGTCTCCGTCTCCACCTTCTCCAAAGAAAGAAGAGACAAAAGTTTCGTGGCATCATTAAAAAAGGCGATTTTGATATAACTTCTGCGTTCAAAAGTTATGGCAAGTGAACAAGCCAAAATGCAAATTAGCACAGGCTTACCTCGACCGCGTCCGCTCGCTCTGTGTATCTTGAAGGCACAAGAAGTCACAAGGAAGGGCATGTATCGACTCCCGCATGCTATCTACTATATACCGTAGCTAGCCCGTGGCACACTCTCTGCGAGGTACTAACGGGCGGGCCCAGGATACCACGAGTAAAGGCCCAGCCCGCGCATGCGCAGTTCGCGCGATGGTTTGCACTTTAGTGCTTTTCACTTTGTACTGGGACAATTTTTTAAAGATAAAGGTATAAATAGTGTGAATGATCCTGCTATAGTGCTTTAGCCTTTCTTTGTGAATTGTCCATAATAATTCTGTGACAGTGTTCTAAATAGTATTTTGCAAAAGGTTTACAGATCATTCTTGTGATTACAGAATCAGTGTCATCATTGCATCTTGCCCAAAAGGGGCATACTGAGAACAGGTGTGGAGGTGGTGTTACTGTTATTGGTGCTAGAATTCCCCCCTCCTCCTCCTCCTCCTCCACCTCCTCCCAGTACGGGCATACTGTTGGAGGGAGTGAGGCCTGAGGATGAGCTCTGGAGACTCTGTGGCAAGACATGGTGACCGAAACAGCTCACACATACAACCTGTCTATGTATGGTTTAATGGTTTGTTCAAATCCCAACACTCTGATACAGTGGAACCCCCAAACAAGGGGCACTATGGGGTCAATGGTGTTTGTCCCTGGTAGAGCGGTCATCCTTATCTCGGAGGTCAAAAATACACCAAAGTATTAGCATGGGGTTGAAACATGTGCCCTTTGTAAAGAGGTCATCCCTATCTCGGAGGGTCCCTCGCTGTAAAGCATGCTGCAACGAGCAAACCCGTAAGCTGCTATGGAGAACACTCATCCTCTCAGCTTTTGGGCTCGCTAAAAAGAGATAACTTGACAGTATGCTCTGAAGCACTGTTTCTACAGTTACACAGTCATACCAAGTTGTGATGGCGAGGCACTCTAACTGCCGTCTCTCTCTCTCTCTCCATCTCTTGTGAAACCTCAAAAAAGAATAAAGGACACTGCCTTGTTCCGTCCCATACTAACTGTGCTATATATACCATGATTGAATAATAAGGGACATCTCTAAATGTGGATATCCCCAAGGTGTCCCTCGCCCAGAGGTTTCACTGTACCAGGATCTGTGAGCCGGTGAGGCCATGTTGTGTGGTTCCCAGCAGAGGTAGTGTGGAGGCAGCGAGAGAGGGAGATGGGGCACTCGCTGCCTGCAGCAGAGGACTGCTCAGCTGGGACTTGAGTGAGGCTCCGACTGACGTCGCTGTCGTGGTGGTCTGTTTACTCAGAGGGAGACGGAACGTGGCCGACAGGGTGACTTGGGGCTTGGATAGTGATGGCTGAGGGGATGCATGTGTACGTGTGTATACATCACAGTGAGTATATATACAAACACTAAGTAAAGCATTGAGTAGGAGAGAGTCTTGAACGACCTTCAAATTGCTAGGTCAAGGCAATCAAAACAACTACACCTTATCGGAAAACTTGCTGCCCTAGGTGGGATTCCCACCCACGACACTCTGCACTCCAGGCAAAGCACTCTATATACCAGCAGAGCTACGTACAGTATAAAGTTGTCAGAAAAGCTCACTTCACGACTAAGGCATTGGAAACATACTCATTCAATAAACAACACACCGTGTGCTGTCTAATACTGCATATATATCAGTAATACTGCGAAGTCTTACTGGTTTCTTTCTGTCCTTTATTCTGTAGTTGTTGGCAGTGAGGCAGTACCTCTCGGGGGGCAGGCGGGGGCCAAATTTCTCAGGAATGAGGGGGAGGGGTGTGGAATTCTTCTGTCTTGCTATATTGATCAGAAACTACAAAAAAGAAACAGTGCACAGCACATTGTTTAATAACATCCTGCACATGTGTTATTACACAAAATCCACTATTCCATTCATATGATCTTATATAGAAAAAACACAAATTGGTAATATTGTACACAGACTGTTAGTTATGAGAGGCACACGTACATCTCGAGGAGGGGGAGTGGTGAAGGAGTGGTCAACTCGTGTCTGGACAGCCAACCTCACGTCTGACACATCCAGCTCCTTCTTCCCTGCATGGCCACTGTATATCTGGGCATCCTCCAGTACTCCTGTTATATACCCTGCATACAGATTGGAGCTACTGAATGGCGAGGGACGCTAGCCAACCTAGTCGTCTGAGTGACGCACGAAACACACACGAAAGATTGAACTGCTTGCTACGGTTGCCTAGCATACAATGCATTCCTTCGATACACACCCTTCGTTGTGGCTTCTTGTGCCTCCTAGGTAAGTGGATCAGGTCGAGGTAAGCCAGTGCTAATTAGCATATTGGCTTGTTCACTTGGTTTTCACGCCTTAACTTCTGAACGCGGCACTTTTACGAAAATCGCCTATTTTAAAATAAAGCCAGTGTAGCTCTGAACCCGCTGGTGTCGCTATTTTACCTGTTTGTTGCGCGTGGTGGCAGAAATCGTGGTAACAGACGGACAGACAGACAGATCGACTACTGTAACCCTCACTGCACATGCGCGCGCCGAGGGTTAATTACTACACTGAGTTAACTTGTATGTAAGACAGCGTATATAATACAGCTTGGGACAATATATATTTCATATGCTACTAGACTTCACTATGATACCAGATTTGACTAACACAGTATACAGGGGTGTGCACACACATAAGTATGAACTGACTGTATGTGAACTCCAGCATCTGGTGAATGACACTGGGTTCAAAGTCCTCCACTCCCATCTCCTTTAGAATTGCCTCCATCACAGCGGCGTCCCTCGGTCCAATCCCCGCCCCATTCTCCGCCATACTTTGACTTACGTCGTGTGTATCCCGACTTCAGCACTTGATACATTCAGTGTCCGAAGAGAAGACAGCGAGAGCCGAGTAACTGTGTGTGCCAGCCAGAGATTGAAATTCCCAATTAGAGCACATGCATTGATCACGTGACCAAAACTTCGCCCCCCTTTTCGATCGTGACAGTGCACCTCTCTCTCTCTCCGGGGAGAAGCCAAGAGGACCGTTGGGAAGAAAAGAGTATAGTATAGCTTACTTTACTCTTCTACTCTACAAGCGTCGGGCTAGCCCCTATCTTTATCGGGTAATTGGCACAGAGTCACCATCGGAAGTCTGCTGACTACGTTCTACTGTGGGATACCGGGCAGTTATGAGTGGACAGAAGAAAGAAGGGAAAATGCGCATCCGCGCTTTCCCGGTGAGTGTCCCGTTGTTTGGGCGTACGCGCGTCAGTTTTTGTAGTCAACATCTGTGATGTGGAACCTTGTTCCATTTAATGCCCACTCCTTCCTATTTCGATCAGGACACTATTTTAGTAGAATCATTGACATCATGTCCGTGGGAGGAAGACCCCATAGCCCTGGCTAGTAGTATAGTATGGAAGGGGCCTGAATGGAACGAAGCTCTAGTGATGTGATACGTATAATATATACCATGTACACACCTACCCGACTTACAATCTGTCAACAGTATATACTTGGTTCAGATTACTACTAGTTTTATCCTGCCTGTATACCTTAGGTGTCTGCATCTTAACCCTTGTGCATATTGTTTGATATTGCTTATATCATATACATGTATGTACTGTACTATATAATAGAGATTCTGAGTGTATCACTAACACCATCTGCCGTTTAATGATAGATCCACATTCTGTGTGTAAATAGCTTTGGCTGCTGTTGACAGGCTACAAAGTGTGGAGGCCATCTGTACATGTGTCTAGTACGTGCCATGCCACATTGCCAAAGCCAGCTACTAGTCCTTATTTGCCAGTCTACGTACATTCGTTCACTAGTCAAATCTTATTAGTAATCTGGCTCTATTGTCGGGTTACACTGTTTGTTCTTCTGCTGGTATATCGATAGGCATTAAGTTTCTTACTGATGCCCTCGCAGTACATGTGGAGTCCATTGTACTGTGTCTACAATTGTCTTTATAATTAGTCTGTACATAATATTATGTGTACCTTACAAATTCTATTGTACATGAGTTTTGAACAATACCAAGAACAAAACATTTTCGTAGGAAAAAACACCACATTGGGTTACAGTAAGAGTCCCAAAATTTTTTCCAGTTTTGTTCCATTTCTTTCCGTTTGCCGTTCACTATCGTTCCGTTTCCGTTCAGTTGTGAATTCCGCGTGACACGCCCTCCGCAAACACGGTAGAGACTCGCTATATAGCGGGGGAACGAAACAAGATTTTTTCTTAGCACAAACGCGAAACAGCGAGAAGGCAGTACCCACACTGGTGCTAGAAGAAAGATCTTCACAATGAGGCCTTCGCATCTCGCGAATGACGTCCCTCGTGCAAACGGAATGTACGGCAACGATTCTAAACGGAACGGAACGAATTCCAACTGTAAATGAACGGCGTTTCAGAAGGGAACGGAAGCTCAATGAAACGGAACGAAATTGGAAACGTTTTTTGACCCCTACTGTATCTTGGTAATTAATGTGCAACATATTCAGGCAGGGCATGTACATACGTCTGCTGCAGTAGGACAGAAACAGTCACTTAATATGTATATATACAGTTATAAGTCGAACTCTAGTTGTTACACTATATGTGTGTATGTGTGTGTGTGTGTGTATGTGTGTGTGTAATGTGTGTGTGGTGTGCAGCAAATGATGGACCAAAAATATGTGGACGACATTCTAGAACTGCTGAGGAATGCAATTAGAGAGATCCAGAAAAAGAACAACAGTGGACTCAGCTTCGAGGAGCTCTACCGGTCAGACTACACTACACCACAGTAACAGTAGTATATATACTTTGTAGCAGCCATACTAGAAGAATGTTGAACATTGTTGGCGAGCGGGAGCGACCCAACTTGGGATTTGCCCACGATGTTGGGGCTGCATATGCGATGCCGTCAGCGTATATACAGCTTTCCTTTCGTGAAGCAAGACAGAGCTACCTGAATGCGTACTGTATATTGCCAGAACGGTGAGCAGGTGAGCAGAACGGTACCACTGACCATGCACCCAGAACACTGAGCTACATATATAGAACAAGGCATGCTAGAGGAAGCGAGCAGTTTGATTTTTTTTGCATGTTTGACTCGTATAATCACGTATAACATATACAGTAAAGTCTAGTACAGTGCTCTACATCCCTACCATACAAACACTTCTACGCAGTTTACATATAATAGTTAGACACTGATTCGAGGTAACTACACAGTAGAAAGCCGAGAGCCCCAGCCCCCGGGGAAATAGTAAACGCTACAGGAAATAGTAAACCTCGGCTTTGCAATCTGATTGGTCAATTCGAAGCTAGCTCACTCTAAACAGTATTATACATAGCGCTCCCTCCTAGATTACTAAGTACAATGTATTCTGATCGTGCCTCCCCACAGCAATGCCTACACTCTGGTCCTCCACAAGCAGGGCAAGAGGCTGTACACCACCCTGAGAGAGGTGATCCAGAGCCACCTGGTGGCCGAGGTGAGGGTCACTGTACTGGACTCCCTCCACGGGAACTTCCTGGAGGCTCTGAGTATGGCCTGGACTGATCACCAGACCGCCATGGTAATGATCAGGGACATCCTCATGTACATGGTGAGTCTGTACTACTAGTAGTCAGTGGCTTGTGTGTATGTAGTATGTTGGTACACATTTTTGCGGAGATCTTGAGGTTGCCTATAATACGTAATACTGCATTCAATTAAATACATATGGATGTGAGTGTGAGCATATGCACATGCACATGGTGTGTCTTTAGTTATGCAGAGTAAAATTCCCTGAATGTGCATGATGTAATGCTTTACAGGCCAATACAGCAGTTGTCTGTATTCTCATGGGGGTTGATTTTTTTGTTGGCTTTGGTCACCACTTCCTATGGCGTATAGATTGCCAGTTTAGTTCCTGTATGAAGCACTGTTGTCATGTTCCTGTGTTTGTGTCCTAATGGTTCCACACTGTTTTGTCTATATATATATAGGATCGAGTGTATGTGCAGCAAAATGAGGAGGTAAAGTACTACACTATGGGTTTTCATGGGTTTTGCATGCATAATACAGGTGCTCTACACGGTGACTACACGTTGTATATATGATATGTTGGGGTGTTGGGGACCAATTAAAAACCCGGCCTGTTTTATCCGACTTCTTGTCTTTCTTGTGCATATATGCATGTAAAGTGCCACAGCTATCACAAGCAATTACGTACGTACTGTAGCTTTCGAAATCAGGCAATTTGGTTCATTTTTTGTGCCGAGATGCACATACATACAATAGCCAGTGCTTCAGAGCTATGTACATAATAGGTGTCGCGCAAAGCCGTTTGTGCATTCTCGAACTGGCCTTCCTTCATTTCCACACAATAGCTCCACATAGAAGGTGTCTAGAATTGTGTAAACCACGCTTGACCTGTATTTGCATGGGGTTCAACATTGCAGCATGAGTGGCCAATGTCGTTTCTTCATTGTGTGTTACTATGAACTGGTCTAGGTTAAAACAATCACCTCCATTCTGAAAGTGGTTCGTGCAAGAGTAATAAGCACCATCTTTGGACAGTTGTAATCCTTTTACCAGTGGTTATACTGCCTTACTCCTCCCCTGCCACTTTTATGTATTACTCACTTTGTCTTCACTGTCCTTGTTTGCTGGCGGTACCTACGTAGCAGCCAAAAACACTAAGGGTTAATTTCAGACCACGTGAAGGATGTGGCTTACTGGGATATATATAGGGGAATGATTAAAGGGAATCGCAAGTCACACTGTATTTCTCTCTGTGGCCAGGTGAATGTGTATGACCTGGGGCTCCTGCTGTTCAGAGACGAGGTGGTCCACCACACCACAGTCAGGGAACACCTGAGGAGGACACTCCTGGAGATGGTCCTCATGGAGAGGAAGGGAGAGATGGCCGACAGGTCTGCTATAATATGTTGTTTTTAAAGAACATTGTTGCTGCCGTTCTGCTTAAGAGAATGATGGGGTTAATTTCAGCCCTGTAAAGTTTGTTTCAATGCATTATACAGCAATATTGCTCCGGTCAGCTTTTTTATCGACCATTCAGTCAGTCTTCATGTGTCCACATACAACGTACGTATATTGTCACAGTGAATTATACACCCCTAGCTGCACACTGAGACTCTCCATCAGCCTAATGTTCAGTACCGCACTAAAACTGCACAGGCTCGTCCTCGTTATTAAACCCACACCCCCAAGTCTTCCGCTGTCCATTCGCCCTTGCCTTGCTGTTGGCCTTGTCTCACTGCCTTACACGTGGACTCACGGTACTACACGGCATGCTTATGAGTCTCTACAAATGCATGCCAATTTAAGGTGGCATGTAACAAATTTGTTAGCAGTTATCCTCTCCCTTTTTGGCATCCTTTACACCCGTTTGTGGCCGGGAATTGGCTTAGTAATGGAGATTACAGAGGTATGTACAGGACAAACAGAGGAATTGGATTCATAACTTTTGTCCCTCTGCGTCTATGGAAGCTGTGCACTTAGCCTCTTCAATAATTTCCACCCAATCAACCTTTAGTGTACACGTATTGTGTACATTTGTACAACTCATCTACATCTGGAGTTGCTAAATACACAAAGTTATCATTCATGTATTCAGTGTATGTGTATGTATGTACACTGTTTTCATACTGTTACAGACGAGCGGTGAACAATGCATGTAAGATGCTGATGGCTCTGGGTATTAGTAAGAGAGACGTCTACGAAGATGACTTTGAGAAACCTTTCCTCAGAGAGTCTCGAGAATTCTTCAGAGTAAGCCCCTTAATTATTGCATCCTTCAGCAAACTACTGTCTGTACACATGTATTACATGCCTACCAGCTGCCCTGGTATATAGCTCATATGGTAGAGCGCTCGCCTAGTAAAGCATAGTGCTGTGGGTTCTAATCCCACCTAGGGCAGGTTTTTTCCTTGCGGAAAAAAGTTTTCCTGGGTGCAATTGACTTGTTTGCTTTGCCTTTCTACCTTGTTGTTGTCACATGCATGGGGAAAGTGTCGATGATGCATGTGTGTTGTGTTTTGCAGATGGAGAGTCAGAGGCTGTTGGAGGATAACAGTGCCTCAGTCTACCTCAAGAGAGTAAGTTTGCCTCGTGTAGTGTTATACACTATGTGCGGGCAGGAATGGCTTTTGAATACTAGCTCCTAGTATATACACAGAGCCCATATGCCCTACTCTGCTCTTGTAATTGTAGTGTTTAGTGATTTGAACCCTGTGAATCTCCAGTTGGTGGGAGGTAACAGTATGAGAAATCCATGTATGTTTGTGCATGCTACAGGTGGAGAGGAGAATAGCAGAGGAGGGAGAGAGAGCTCAGCACTTTCTGGACCCCAGCACTGAGAGCAGAATTACCAAGGTATATTACACACTTGCTGGCCTTCTAGCTTCAATTGGGGGTTTTTATTGGCCAGCGGAATGAACCTACAGTATGTAGTGGTGGGGTATTCTATACATATGTACGGTACAAGTGTAACGACCGACTGAGTATAGGTTAACCAAGAAAGGGTTAACTGTGGTTAATGGCCTGACGGCAGGCGTGTGGCAGGGTTGATGCATGTGACTGCTCTGGTTGTGCTCGCCAAAATGTTTTTTTTGTTCATTCTAATGTATGAGCTTATAATTTGATTTGGGTTTGTGTGTACACATACACATGTATGTATGTATCTTTTTTTGCCGTAGAGTGTGTTTGATATCTGCTTTATCAATTTTTCTGTACAGGTGGTAGAAGATGAGCTGATAAAATACCACATGGAAACCATAGTTGAGGTACACATACACATATGTACATAGAGTAGATACCACATAAAAGGTAATCATTACAGTGTTTCCCGCAGCATTATAACTACCGAGCGCTCCACCCGGATTGAATGAAAAGCACTGAAGTGCAAACCCTCGGCGAACTGCGCACGCGTGGTACCACTAATTGATGGGCTGGGCTTTTAGTATGCGTTTACTCGTGGTATCCACGCTAGTAGCTCGCGGAGAGTCTGACACGGACTAGCTACAGTAGTAAATAGCATGCGGGAGTCGATACACGCCCTTCGTTGTGACTTCTTATGCCTTCAAGATACACAGAGCAAGCGGCCCGGTCGAGGTATATCAGTTTGTGCTAATTAGCATTATAACCGCATGCGCATTTTCCGCAGCGATAAAAAAAAATGGCTGACTACGCATTAGCCGTACAATGCCGGAAGCGCTCTAGCTTTGCAACGGAGCATTTTCAGAGATAACCGCCTTTATTTTCTGACCTTCGTCGCCCGTTGGGTAGATGGCATCGTTTCTGGGACGAACAGACGTTCGAGGAGTGAGATGTAGAGTAACAGACAAACAGACAGACAAACAGACAGACCCAACTACTGTACCCTCGCTGCGCATGCGCGCCGAGGGTAATAATCCCGACAATGGGCGTGTACAATAATTGCGCATGTGTCAAATGCTATTACACTGTGCGCAGTTATTCCCCGCTTAGAGTAGCACTTAGGCCAGTAGGGGATTTCCCAACAGGAAGTGCTTTGAAACGGGAGTAGCAAGTAAGGTTTTTCAGCCAGAAAGCCGAGGTAATTAATAATCCATAAGCACCCTGTTTCAATATTACCCTGCGGGAAACACAACATTATGAACAGAGTAGCGAGTGTATGGACTTGATGTATATAAATGCAAAACCAACAGTAATGTGTACGTAGCATAAAGGGAAAGAAATTGGACTACTATGTAATTATTTTCGATGGCGCCTACTCATGCACTGAATAAATTGTTGTGTATGATATACTACATATCCTCTCTGTTGCCAGATGGAGCACTCTGGTGTGGTTCACATGCTGAAAACAAGGAAAGTTGAAGGTGAGTGAATTCTCTTACCCTCCCACTCCACTTTGCTGCCGAAAGTTCTTCAAAAGCAGAGCATGAGGATGTTATGGCGCGTCCACTTCAATTTTAAACTTATCTACAGCAAAAACGCTATGTCCTTAATTAGTGCCTGGTGCAGTTATGCTTAACTGATACAGATGCACTCTTGAGTTTGAAGAAGAGGCGGACACCTATTCTGTATACTTTGGAATAGTAACATACTCTATCTTGCTGCACCTTTTCCTTTCTTGCCCAAATTTCACTGTCCCCCAAATATGGGTGTCGACAATTTAGCATTTTTTGTAGGCACCTGAGGTTAAGAAGACTATACTTATTGCTTTGACTACAGATAGGGTATGGAATAGATCTCACTACACCTATTCCTATCTCACCCAAATTTCACTGTTCCCCTGAATGAAGGTGTCAACTATGTTGCAATTTTTGTAGGCACATTAATTGATAAAGAGACACACCAACTCTTCTTACGACTTTGGCTACAGTTGGAGTATGGAATAGTATATACCTTCCTTGTCTCCCTTTAGCAATCCCTATCCCACCCAATCTCGCCTTTTGTATCTCACTTTATTGTCTTTACCAATCCCCCACCTCAAGATATATAAGTGTGTCAACAATTTTGCAATGTAACATACTTCATGTCATGAGTGGAAGAAGAGAGGGGGTATTACAACATAGCCAACTTCTTTATACTGTGTTTCTTTGATCTCTCTATAGACTTGTCGTGTATGTACAAGTTGTTCTCTCGGGTGGAGGGTGGACTGGCATGCATGGTCAGGTGTATGAGTGGCCATCTCAGAGAAACTGGTAAGGGAAGCTTGACATTGTATTCATACTGCTTTCAGTTGTTTTTTCTATGTATGCCCCTCTTTTGATCTACAAGTATGTATGTTGTTTACATGTATTAAAAGTTACAGTAATACAAGTCTCACACGATATTCTCCCTCAATCTCTTCCATTCCGTTTTCTTTTGTGTTATATTATATTAGTTGGTATTATGTCTTTTCATTCACCTCCCAGCTTATATGCAGTGTGAACATAGTATAGGTTGCTAGGCTTATAGAGTATAACTAAGCAGGGGCATATTTCTAAATGCATACATATGTGTATACGTATACGTATGTACAATGTGTGCTTTATACATTAGCGAGATATGGGTGTCCAAAAGAAGACCATTGCCCCAAACAGTTGCCTTCACTGAGTTGTGTTCATACTCTTTTCTCCATGCATGACCTACTGTCCAGGGCGAGCTCTGGTGCTGGAGGAGGGTGCCAGTGGTGGGGATGCCCCTGGTCGTAATGCCGGTGCCTTTGTTCAGGCACTGCTGGATCTGAGGGACACATACAACAGGTTTCTCGTGGAGTCTTTCTCTTCAGACCAGCAGTTCAAGAACGCCATTGCCTCTGTTAGTGCAGTTCATCATGTTCTTAATTTGCGAGTGGAACGAGCGTATGTATGTACATGTACTATCTAGTCATCAGAATTGCAAACGTATGTGCCATTTGATAACATCAAAATCAAAGGGAATGTGGCTAAATTTGGAAATGTTACTAAATAAAGATATAACTAAACAATAGGGCCCATTACAAGAATGCAATTAAGTTTCCATTTTTTCAGTAACATTTTCTCACATTCGCTTTAAAGTCTGCAGAAATATTAGTTTGCTTAAATATTTTAGTGTCTGACGTGCATAGCTATTGAGTCACAGCTGCACATTATACGAGAGAGCACACTCGTGCTTTACGACAATGGTTTGGAGGAATAGTTTCATGAGCTAACAAGTGCAGTATTAGCTATATATAGCCCTTATCCAATTCCACTACTGCATCACATGGACCTGACTATCCCTGTCTTGTCTCCTTGCTAACTATACCTGACCATACTTGTCTCCTTGTCTTATTTTTCCATTGGAGTAGGTAGAATATGTCGTTACAAATGTTATAGTCGGCCATAAACAGTGTACTAGAAGTAATTACAACCCTCCCCTAACAAGTATTGGGTGTGGTCTGATGGATAAGGTCTCGCCCACTTGATCGTGAGGTCCCTGGTTCGACCCCAGTTGTCCACGTTTTTTTTATATGATGTACAATGATTGTTGATATAAGAGGAACGTTTTTTCATCAGCTCTCGTGGCCAGCCCAAGTGGCTAAGTGGTTAGAGACGTGGGGACTGACACCATAGGTGCCCGGTTCGAATCCCGATCCCGCACTAAAGTGTCAGGTGGTCCAGAGCATTGGCTGGGAACAGCTCTGGTTCCTCCCCTTACCCATGAATCTACCACTGACCCATGTTTCTCAAAGGGCAGCGTACAGTTCGGCATAGCACTGCGTCCGTAGACGTCTGTCTGGAGAGATGGAGGGCTGGCCCAAAATATTTTTTCAACCTTAGAAGTTATTGTTTTGCATAAAACAATCCTGGCATATATTGAAAATGTGTAAAAAAATTAGTTATATATTTTTTCTTTCTCCACATACTTGATCTTGAACACCCTGATCCGTTGTTCGATCCCAGTCTGGGTGAATTTTTATATTATCTGACTAATGGTAGTAGAGAAACGTTTTTTCACCACCTCTCGTGGCCAGCCAAAGTGGCTAAGTGGTTAGAAACGTGGGACTGTCAGCGCAAAACTACCACTTCTCATGAATGAGTTTGTGGATAATCCTGACTATGGTGTTGCTAGTGTGCAGCAAGGGGTCGGTACTTGGCGTGTCCGTCTGTTTGTCCATGTTAACAAAGTGAACAAACCAATATGCAAAGTTACCACTAGCTTGCCTCTACTCTTGTATATGCCTTTGGGGCACAATAAGTTATAAAAAGGGCATGGCCCTGCGTGCTCTCTCGTAGTATAGCTTGCCAGTGTCTGACTCTTCGCTAGGTAGAGGCGACCACAAGTGAATGCATAACCCAGCCCATGAAATTAGTGTTGTACCACATTGTGTATGGGTTCTATGTTTCTCCAAGGATTTTTCACATTTTGTACTTTTTTTCATGTTGTTTTCGTACATGTGGTTTGCAGGATTTTGAGTTCTTTGTGAACCTCAATGACCGATCTCCGGAGTACCTCTCTCTCTTCATTGATGAGATGCTCAAGAAAGGGGTGAAGGGGGTAAGTGACATGTTGGGACTCCTTGGGACATTGTGGAACTATAGAGGAGGATCTGTACATATAGCAACCAATAGGATGTTTGGTTGTGTTATACAGAAAGAAAAGAGAGAGAGTATGTGGCAGTCCTAGCTAGACATGAATGAAGTGAAAAACTTAGTCTTTGTATGCTCTATACACTACACGACATGTATATACATCTGATGAAAGTAATGAGGGGATTTTTTCCTGTTTTCTCAGCACTCAGAACAGGAGGTGGAAATCATTTTGGACAAGTGCATCATGCTCTTCAGGTTCCTTCAGGACAAGGTACATCACTACAACCAAACTCACACTTACCATCGCATTCAGCTTTGTTGGATATCCCTAGGCAACCGACATGTACATATGAAGCTAGGTACTGGGGAGATTTTATCAGCCTATACAATCCTACATGTGCAAGCATATGTCATTTGCCTAGGGATATCCAACAAATCTGAATGTCAACATAGTATATTTACTGTACTACTTCACCTGCACTTATAATATTTCACACATGCACATATACTTCTCACAACACTATCTAACACTTTAACAGGATGTGTTTGAGCGCTACTACAAGCAGCATCTAGCCAGGAGATTGCTCCTCAACAAGTCGGTATCTGACGACTTTGAAAAGAGTATGATCTCAAAACTGAAGGTAAACACCTTGTGTAGACTGGAGTTTTCCTTGCATGATTAACGATCTGGGATGGCTTGGGCTATATACACGGAATGAGTGTTATTTAACCCTGTGTGCACCTTAGAAGCGGGGGTATTGTTTCTGTCTGTCATTCTGTCTGTCTGACTGTACGTAGGTCTGTTACCACTACGTAGCTCTACCAGCAACCTTATTTGTTTACAAGTCTAACCAAAACCCAGCCCATCAATTAGTGGTACAAATGACTTTGTTTTCAACCGGTTGATATCTGTACATGCTAAAAGCCAATTCTATGTATATACTATGAACACTTTTGGCCACATCTATCAAATATGAAGTCACCCAAGTTCATTGTGTACACAACAGCCTGTTTTAAGTGACTTTATTCTCCGTCTATTTCCAGACGGAGTGTGGTTGTCAGTTCACCAGCAAGCTGGAGGGAATGTTCAAGGACATTGCTCTCTCCAACACCACCATGGAGAAATTCAAGGAATACCTCCAGACCAGCTCAGTACGTGCTACCCAGTCATTTGGCACAAGTTAATAACGTGTATACAGTATGTGGTCTGCATCCCACTCTGCATGTGTTTCATGTGCAAAGTATAGCAATAAGCAAGGAAAACAAATTCTTAGTAAACAGCGAGAAAGGTATTTTTCTCTTGTACAGTATGCCCGGCCAAGACCCTATATCTTGCTTCCTAGAGTGATCACTTGCTAATTCTTGGCGGAAGTGAAATGTGAAGAAAAATAAAATCTGAAAGCAGGCTTTGTAGAATCCTCTTTGCATTGCAATTTGTTAAATCGTGATCTAAAAGGTTACTTCAGGTGTCTTTTCCCCGCAATATCAACCCAAGATGCAGATTCACATGCACACAAGTCCTCGCCCTTCTGCATAGCACACAATCCGTTGGCAAACGGACCAAGAAGAAATGGCATGCGTCGGCAGATTACACTACGACACCACGCAGGGTTTTCAATTGCACTACAGACACGTGGCAATTAGTGCATGACCAACCATCCCTCTCACCAGAACGTAGTCGAGCCCCGAGATTAAGAACAACCATCGTTTTCCTGCATACACAAAAGTTTATTTTTCAATGTATCCCTTGCAGCATTGTACATATGTACAGCCTGCTACACTGTACATACATACATACATACATACATACAGTACAACAACATAGTCTACCTGTCGTTATGTCTCTGTAGTACCGTCAGCATGCGATTGTGGTACCGGCAACATGCGATTGTAGCTGTAAAACATGCACATGTGTCAACAATGAGGTAAGGCAAGCGAAAGCAAGTCAACTGCACCCGGACAGCTCAGGACATATTACTTTCCGCACGCATTGTAATGTATTTGTTATCATTGTGGTCACTCACACTCTCACTCACTTACTCTCTCTCTCTCTCTCTCTCTCCATCTCTCTACTGTTCCAATGTATGCAGATGAGTCTGGATGGAGTGGACCTGAGTGTGCGTGTGTTGACCATGGGTTACTGGCCGACCCAGTCCATCACTGCTCCCTGTGCCGTGCCCCCCGTGGCCCAGGCCACCTTTGACATCTTCCGCAAGTTCTACCTCAGACAGTACAGTGGACGACAGCTCACTCTTCAGACTCACATGGTACTCCAGTGTGTACTACTGCAACACATTTTGGCGACCAAAGCAAGCATTTCACATTTAGAGTCACTTACAACATTATCATATCTATATGTACAGTGCCTGTCACATTGAAAATCCCGCATTTAGGTACGTAATCATAGATTTTCTTTGCTCATCAATTAGTACATTTCTGCAAGAAGAGGTGTAAAGTAATTCTTCCAGCACTAAAGGCAAGCCACACAGAGGCACATATGTGTAGCTTTAGAATTTAAGACCACGGTTAAATGGTCAAACTGTTGGTCCAAATGTTCTCCGTTTCTGTGCCGGTAGGTACACAATATTAGCCCTGTGCTACACCCAAGATCAAGCCAGTGCCATAATGACAATGCAGGCAGGCTTTTCCAGGACTGTCTGTCCAGCCTTCTTAAGCTGAATTTTCATCTTTTTTACTCCACAAAGAATGTGCCATGTTTGATTCTAGTGGGAACATCAGTGGGGCAGTAATTAGACCTTCGGAGAAACTGCAATCCTCAGCTGGCCTGTGCTAGAGCAAGAAGCCGGAGGAGCATAATATTGTTGTACTTCTCCATATTGTACATTATTAGTACATAATATTCCTTGTGTGCAATGTTGTGTTTTTTTTACTCTAGTGTTTTTTATCACACAGGGTCATGCAGATCTAAATGCAGTTTTTTACCCTCAACCTAAGGTAATAATAAACACAGTACGTTTTGTTAACCTTGTCAACTAGACTGAAATTGGATTTAAGAAGTGATGAAAGTTGTGTAGTACACCAGTAGTACATTTCCTTGGCACGTAGTTGTGTATGTCTCTCTTGGTCTCTCTTTTGCCATGTGCAGTGAAACCTCTGAACAAAGGACACTATGGGGCCAATGATTTTGTCCCTTGTAGGGCGAGGCCGTCCGAATCTCAGAGGTCAAATGATATGCTAAAGTATTAGCATGAAACAAGTTACCCTTGTTAGAGAGGTCGTCCCTATCTCGGAGGGTCCCTTATCGGAAGTTCCACTCTATGTGTCTACTACTAATTAAGTTATTTTCCTCTGATCTGTTGTCAGAGAGCAGATTCCACTGTGGCGGTACTTCAAGTGAAGCGACACATTCTCCAAGTCTCCACTCACCAGATGGCCATCCTCCTCCTCTTCAACAAGAAAGCCAACATCACATTTCAGGTGATTTTCACGATTGCTATGTATACGTACCATCAACATAGCAAGTATACAAGTGAGGTATTTCTGCCTTGGGTTGGACTCAAGCCCACAACACCTTGCAGTCCTATTAAAATAGGCAGAGTGCACCGAGCTTATTTATATGTAGCATTATACACTGTTCTTTTTGTTACCTGTTTATGATTTACATGTATTAAAAACGAAATATCACAACCCTGATGTTTGTTGTTCACATCTTTGCGTTTTAGCTTAGACTCTAGACATTAATTTTATGTCTCTGTGTGTAGTGTAGTTTGTTGCACGTGGGCAATTCCTCAGGCTCCAAACCTGTATCTTTCAGTCTCTCCCACTGAATGTGGAAATGTTTGTAGTGTCATGCCTAGACGGTCATTTTGTGGTGCGTGCAGGACTTGTTGCAGGAGACTCAGATCCCTCAGAAGGAGCTGGTGAGAGCCCTCCAGTCCCTGGCTCTGGGGAAGCCTCAGCAGAGGGTCCTGGTGCAGCTACACCGCAGGAAAGACACCTCTATCAAAGACTTCAGTCAGTTGTTCACCTTTACTACAGCTCTCTGCTGCTGTATAGTCCCTTGGGCTTAACCTACATGTAGTATGAGATTGTGTGTGAGGCACTAAACAATAGGTTAGGTGGAAATGCAAGCACACTTAAAAAGTATGTTTGCACCTACATATGTATGCATGAGTAAATAACGAGGTAAAAGGCAGGGCAAATGCAACTACACCCAGGACATGTGTCAATGACGAGGTAACGAGGTAGAAAGGTAAGGCAAAGGAAACATGATAGGAAGCCTAGGATATTCATTCTCGTTGCATGCACTCATGTGCTCAAGGCTATTGTTGGTAGGTATGTTTGTATACCTCTGCTCAGGTATGGAGGACAGGTTTGCAGTCAACGATCAGTTCACCTCAAAGCTGCACAGGGTCAAGGTGCAGGCGGTGGCATCTCGAGGAGAGAGTGATCCTGAGAGGAAGGAGACGAGACAGAAAGTCGACGATGACAGAAAACATGAGTATCCCTCACAACTAACTAGAGGAGCGCAACACATATTCGACAAGCGAAGCGACCATACAGTTCAATTTTTCACGTACATTTAGAATCATGTAGAACATTACGGTATGTGCAGTGCCTGGCACATATATAAATAACTAATCGGCCCGTTAAGGTGACGGTTCACCCTTATAACCTTGAAGTATCTCACACTTCACAGCTCATTTCACCTATGCTAAGGAACTACATGGGTATGAAATGAAAGCTATATTTATACACCTTCTGAATATCTTTGGAATAGATACTACAACAAGAGCAAGAGCAGGTTTTAAATCAAGCACTAATATGCTACAGCGCCCGTATGTATACTATATAGGTAATAGGTCAACGAATAGTTGTGGTCATGTAGTTTTGAGAGTATATACCTCCTGTGTGTTGCAAGCTTGAACCGAGCCACCTTACAGTGAGTATGTGGGCTCACTTTGCTTGCCAGTTACACTGTGTCACCTCAGTGGCTATGCCCTATAATGCAAACGGGTTCTATGGTGTGTTTGTTAGTGGCGACATTGACCTTGACACCGTGTCTCAGAATTGAAGCTGCTATTGTCAGAATAATGAAGGCCAGGAAGAAACTGGCACATCAAGTCTTAGTCGCTGAAGTAAGCATAATGAATAATATGTGTATTTTGCTGCAGGATATATATATATGTGTATACATATGCACTGTATTGTAGCATTGGTGATGTAGTGTGTGCCACTTGTTCATTCTCATCTCTTTACTACACAGTGCGTTCAACAACTCAAGAACAGATTTAGCCCAAATCCCGTCATCATCAAAAAGAGAATCGAGAGCTTAATTGAGAGGGACTACCTCGCACGCTCGCCAGAAGACAGGTATGACCACATCGCAGTGCCGAACGTTAAAAATTGGAAAATTCTTTTTTCTTGTCCCCATGCAGGAAAGTGTATACGTATGTTGCATAAAATCGACCAAATCACAACTTTAGCATCCCCTCGTGTCACGCAGTCTGTTGTATTGTGTTTTACGTATGAATGTATTGATATGCAGTGCTCATCTTTGTACATTGTTGTAAGATTTAACTTTGAACTGGGCACAGTTTTTTGACTCCCATTGTTGTGTGCAATACATGTGGCAATAACTGCACCACTGACTCTACAGATAATTTTTGCACAGATCTCCAGATACATACATACATGTGTTCATTGTATATTTGCTGGTTCTGGGAGTTTGTAGCATAAAGTATATACTGTACCATCAATTTGTAAGTGCCAGCTAGATCGGCCTGACTTTGTTAAAACCCATTGTGTTAGCGCAGTAAGAATTTTGTGAACTGCTCGATGGTCACATGTTTCGTGGTGTAAGGCATATCTGCAGTTTTTCTGCTTTAGTTGTGTCTGCAAACTCTGGTTTTATCCATTAGTCTAACCCTCAGCACACAACGAGAGATCAGAAGTGAGACGTGTGGATTGACCTAAGTGAGGAGAGCTATGTACATGTCCCAATGTTCATGCGCTTCTAGTATAATTGGCGAGCGAAGCGAGCCTACCTATAGTCATGTCAATGTGCCAATTTTCCAATTCAGTGCCACACATACCGTAATGTTTTACGTGATTCTAAATCAGCGACAGCCACCAAGCGTGAAATATTGAACTGCTCGCACTCGCTCGTCAACAATACGTTGCATTCATCTAGTATTTTATTGTGTCAAGCTTTTTGCGTCAACCCGACAGTTGCACATCTCCACTTCATACTGACAGCAGAGTTTGGGTTTTGAGTACTATGATTTGCCACATGTATGCCATCAGTGGTAACTGGTGTCTCTCTGCACCCGCAGCAGCTCAAGGCTCTACCCACCTCAGTCTTTCACTACTTCTCTTAGTTCTACAGTAGTACTTAGTGTATAGGGATTGGCATGGTGCCTAGCATCATAGATGTATGGGGCTATCTTAGGGAGTTTGTTCATCTTCTCCTTCTTCTCCTTCTTCAGATTGAACTCGCGTAACTCAAAAACGAAATAACATATAGTAATGAAATTTGTAAGAATGTAGATATCCATCACCCGAAGAGACTGGTCATACTAATTTCTTTGTAAACAACAACAAATACATTGTAGCCCCACAGGCAATACATTATAATGGGACCACATGTGTCAGTATAACTCACAAATGGTAAGAGCTATGTGAACGAAACTTTGTAGACATCAATCACCAACATCAAAATTACAACAATACATGTTTGTAAACAACAACAAATAGCCTCAGGCACTATTCTTTAAATTTACTTCTTCACTCCTCAAACTGGTAGCACACATAGAGATGAAACTTGGTAAGTATGCCTATTACCATGACGATTACTTGTTTCCATGACGACCGCATTTTGTTTGAAAAAGCCTCAGGCAATTTTCTTTCACTTCTTCACTCCTCAAACTTGCTAATTGTAGCACGCATGGAGGTGAAACTTGGTGTGCATGTGTATTGCATCGTTTCCATGACGACCACAACAACAAATAGCCTCAGGCACTTTTCTTTAAAATTACTTCTTCACTCCTCAAACTTGCTAACTATAGCACGCATGGAGGTGAAACTTGGTGCGCATGTGTATTACATCGTTTCCATGACGACCACAACAACAAATAGCCTCAGGCACTTTTCTTTATAATTACTTCTTCACTCCTCAAACTTGCTAACGGCAGCACACATGGAGATGAAACATGGTCATTTCCATGACACAACAGGCATTTTTCTCAATTATTATATTTTTATAGGGGCTTGCCGCCTTCCACAGAGATAATACGTAGTAGTATATATTTTAAAAATGAGTGGAGACAAGTAAATTAAAAATCCTGCGAATTTACAAGAGGCTTATAGGGATGGTATAAAAAGAAAGGGAGACAAGATAGGGATGGGATACATGAAGCATGGTTAATGAACAGATTTGAGTACGCTTGACACCCCCAACCCCATCACACAATCCCTATATTGTTGCCTAGGTGAAGTATTAAATGTTCACCATTACAATACTCAGAACTTACTGAGTAACCAACACCCTTATAGAGTCCAAGTGGAGTTTGATTAGAGGGAATGTGGCAGTATAAATGTTACTAAAACAACAGGGACACAGTGAAAGAATGCTTGCTTTTAGTAACCTTTAGCCCCTATAAGGGTAGCACACCAGGCAACAATATATAGGGATTGTGTGATGGGGTTGGGGGTGTCAGCGTACTCAAATCTGTTCATTAACCATGCTTCATGTATCCCATCGCTATTTTGTCTCCCTTTCTTTTTATACCATCCCTATATGCCTCTTTTTTTAAATTCGCAGGATTTTTAATTTACTTCTTAAAGTATAATATTCAGTATCTTTGTTAGCTAGCTACACCTTCTGTCATGGGAGCCAAAGTTGTTTCTTCCAGACACTCCCTTTTAATGTGGCCACAAAACAGAAAGTTGCACTAACTCAAGCTGAAAGTAGCACTAAGTCAAATACAAATTCCGCTTACAGCAGTAAACAGTTTATGATGCTGGCATGGAACAAATTTATTAGTTGTAGTGTGGTTAGGCATAGTAGTTGATATCCAACTGCAAGGATGGTACCTTCAGCAGTGAAACTAGCCATATTCGTGGTAGTTGTGACATGCTCTAGAGCAATGGATGGCAAAGCTATGCTTCTTCTGGAATCGAGCAGGAATGAAACCACCTGTCCACCTTGGTATACCCCAGACCCAGCTGATGGTGAGTGCTCTTTCGTTCATCGGCTGCCACAGATAGTACGTCAATATGGCAACTCTTCCGAGCTCGAGATGGGGTTTTGTATGACAGTCACCAACACTAGTATTGTGGTAGCTCAGTGTCCATACATACCAGTCAGCAACAACATCCGTCACCTCTACCACAACATCTATAGAGTCCTGCCGACAGATTTGGACGAGGTCAACTCTTCGCTGTGTGCTCCGTACAACAGGAGAGGATATCTCTGCAGTGATTGTAAAGAGGGCCACGGACTGGCAGCATACAGATACTATGGACTCATGTGCGTGAAATGCTCTCACCCAACACTAATGCTGGGGGCTTACATTATCCTACTCTTTGTCCCCCCAACGTTCTCCTTCTTTTTGTTTTTCTTGTTCAAGACAAACATTCACTCGGGACATTTGACTAGTTTTATCTTCTTTTCCCACACATTCATTACAACAATATTCTTCTTCCCGCAACTATCGACACTCCCTCAGAGTCTGTTCGGTTACAAGCCCTTGCAGGTCATTGTGTCCTTTTACGCAGTCTGGAGTCTCGACTTTGTGCAATTTCTGATACCCCCGTTCTGCGTTAGTCCTCACTTGACGACGCTTCAGCTCATCAGTCTCGGCTATGTTCCTTCTGTCTATCCACTTATCCTCTGTGTCGTAACATTCTATCTGATACAGCTACATGCTAAAGGAAACAAGTGTATAGTTGCACTGTGGAAGCCATTCAAGAAGTTGCTGAAGGTCGAAGTTAAAGATCTGTCGTCCATTATTTACACGTTTGGGAGTTTCGTTCTACTGTCGTACGGAAAGAATCTGTTTGTATCGTTTTCACTTTTTCAGAAATATTTCCTAGTTGCTCTCGATCAGAATTCTAACAGGTTGAAAACACTTCAACCACTATCAACTGATTTGAAAACTCCTTTCTTTAGCCCAGCTCACACCCCATACTTTGTTCTAGGAATCGTAGGGGGTGTGGTTACTGTCGTACTCCCTCTAGTTCTAGTTCTGATCTTTCCAACTCGTATCTTCCCAAAACTCATCCCCTGTTGTGGACTCAGGAGATGGCATGCAATGCGGACATTCATGGAACTATTCACTGGGAGCTACAAGAATGGAACAGAAAGTGGGCAAAGGGACTGTCGTTGTTTCGCTGCTCTCTATTTGATTGGAAGGATAGCAGTTGCGTTGGGCTGGGCAACCCATGCTGGCCCAAACACTTCTGTAGTTCAGTCCTATGCCTGGCTCATCACAGCAATGCCGTTCATTCTTGTAGCAGTCATATTTGCCTTCTTTAAACCTCACCGCAGGCTCTGCAACAATGCCATCGACGTCCTCCTGTTCCTCCTCCTGGCAAAAATCTGTCTGCTTTTTCACTTCATTTACGAAGTGACTGTCAGTGAGGCTACGTTGAAAGTTTTGGGGTTAATTGTCCTCATAGACCTGGCTATTCCACAAGCAGGATATATCGCATACATCACCTTCAGACTTGTTCGTTGGATATACTCTGCAGGATTTATCAAGAAGAATTGCTGTAATGGGCAGGAAGCATATCGTCTCCTTCCCAAGTTATGAAAATAGCTACCTGTTCCAAGTACAATGCAATATGGTGGTAGCTATCATAATGGTAGCTATTATTATTCTGCAGTGTCTACTTTGCATACTTTAAATTTTATGTTGATTAGAACAGACTGTAAAATAGGTCACTGAGTAATTTTTGTGAGCGAGTGTAGAGTCACGCATCATTGTGATTATTTGTTACGTACAGCAAGCTTCATTCAACGTTACCATTTTTGTTATTGGCTATATAGCTATGAGAAAAGGTTCTCAACGTTACCCATAATTAAGCTACATGAGGTTGCAACGCAATGTGGGGTAGTTCATCCGTGTAGTTTCATAATATGACTTGTCGTCTATCTCTATCGCAGAAAGAACTCGTGAGAAAGAGACACAGGAATAATATTATACACACTGCTATAAAGAGGTAAACAACAACGGTTGTGAAACAAGGTGCTGAGAAACAATGATGTAACTGAGACACACTGTGTTTCTATATACCACCACTAAAGAGACATTGAGAGTTTCTCTTGGTGAGGTTCCGGGTGGAGGGGCTAGTGGTCTGTGGGTGAGGGAGTGCTCACAGAAACTGACTCGTCCAACCCGGAAGAGGGGCTCCTCGGTTTGGTACCACTGCTGAATGTTGAAGTCAGGAAACAGAGTATCCATCTCCATCAAAAAGCTTGCCTCACATCCTCACATTTCGGGGTGGGATAGTCATGTACAGTTAGGCTGGGTTCACAATATGTCGTATTGCCCTGCCGCTTTTTATCTTCACAGCACCAAGCGACGCTGAAGGGCAATGCAACATACTGTGAACCTACCCTTAGAGACATGGAGTGCACATCGAAACAGGCCCACAAACTGTCCAAAATTTTGCGCGTCTGTAACTTTGCTACAATTACGAACAAAGTATATACCGTTCCCCAGCGCTCGAAAAGGCCTTGTCAACGAAAACCGTCAAAGTTAGCCTCTGATCGAGCATTTGCAGCTTTCTATATACCTTGCACATCTCCACTTCATACTGACAGCAGAGTTTGGGTTTTGAGCACTATGATTTGCCACGTGTATGCCATCAGTGGTAACTGGTGTCTCTCTGCACCAGCAGCAGCTCAAGGCTCTACCCACCTCAGTCTTTCACTACTTCTCTTGGTTCTACAGTATTAAAGTATAATACACCTTGAACCAAGGAACTGAAAGTTGTTTCTTCCAGACACTCCCTTTTAATGTGGCCACAAAACAGATGTTGAAAGTTGCACTAACTCAAATACAACTTCCGCTTAGCTACAGCAGTAAGCAGTTTAAGATGCGTGGCATATATGGAACAGATATTGGTATCAGTTAGGCATAGTAGTTGATATTCAACTGCAACAATGATACCTTCAACAGTGAAACTAGCCATATTCGTGGTAGTTGTGACATGCTCTAGAGCAATGGATGGCAAAGCTATGCTTCTTCTGGAATCGAGCAGGAATGAAACCACCTGTCCACCTGGTATACCCCAGACCCAGCTGATGGTGAGTGCTCTTTCGTTCATCGGCTGCCACAGATAGTACGTCAATATGGCAACTCTTCCGAGCTCGAGATGGGGTTTTGTATGACAGTCACCAACACTAGTATTGTGGTAGCTCAGTGTCCATACATACCAGTCAGCAACAACATCCGTCACCTCTACCACAACATCTATAGAGTCCTGCCGACAGATTTGGACGAGGTCAACTCTTCGCTGTGTGCTCCGTACAACAGGAGAGGATATCTCTGCAGTGATTGTAAAGAGGGCCACGGACTGGCAGCATACAGATACTATGGACTCATGTGCGTGAAATGCTCTCACCCAACACTAATGCTGGGGGCTTACATTATCCTACTCTTGTCCCACCCAACGTTCTCCTTCTTTTTGTTTTTCTTGTTCAAGACAAACATTCACTCGGGACATTTGACTAGTTTTATCTTCTTTTCGCACACAATCGTTACCACAATGTTCTTCTTCCCGCACCTATCGATACTCCCTATGAATCTGTTCGGTTACTGGCCCTTGCAGATCATCATGTCGTTTTACGCAGTCTGGAGTCTCGACTTTGTGCAATTTCTGATACCCCCGTTCTGCGTTAGTCCTCACTTGACGACGCTTCAGCTCATCAGTCTCGGCTATGTTCCTTTCTGTCTATCCACTTATCCTCTGTGTCGTAACATTCTATCTGATACAGCTACATGCTAAAGGAAACAAGTGTATAGTTGCACTGTGGAAGCCATTCAAGAAGTTGCTGAAGGTCGAAGTTAAAGATCTGTCGTCCATTATTTACACGTTTGGGAGTTTCGTTCTACTGTCGTACGGAAAGAATCTGTTTGTATCGTTTTCACTTTTCAGCAATATTTCCTAGTGCTCTCGATCAGAATTCTACAGGTTGAAAACACTTCAACCACTATCAACTGATTTGAAAACTCCCTCTTCAGCCCAGCTCACGCCCCATACTTTGTTCTAGGGATCGTAGGGGGTGTGGTTACTGTCGTACTCCCTCTAGTTCTAGTTCTGATCTTCCCAACTCGTATCTTCCCAAAACTCATCCCCTGTTGTGGACTCAGGAGATGGCATGCAATGCGGACATTCATGGAACTATTCACTGGGAGCTACAAGGATGGAACAGAAAGTGGGCAAAGGGACTATCGTTTTTTCGCTGCTATCTATTTGATTGGAAGGATAGCAGTTGCGTTGGGCTGGGCAACCCATGCTGGCCCAAACACTTCTTTAGTTCAGTCCTATGCCTGGCTCATCACAGCAATGCCGTTCATTCTTGTAGCAGTCATATTTGCCTTCTTTAAACCTCACCGCAGGCTCTGCAACAACGCTATCGACGTCCTCCTGTTCCTCCTCCTGGCAAAAATCTGTCTGCTTTTTCACTTCATTTACGAAGTGACTGTCAGTGAGGCGACGTTGAAAGTTTTGGGGTTAATTGTCCTCATTGACCATGCTATTCCACTAGCAGGATATATCGCATACCTCACCTTCAGACTTGTTCGTTGCATATACTGTGCAGGGTTTATCAAGAAGAATTGCTGTAATGGGCAGGAAGTAAATCCTCTCATTCCCAAGTAATGAAAATAGCTATAATTATAGCTAGCTAAGCACAATGCAATTATGGTGGTAGCTAATTATAATGGTAGCTATTATTCTGCAGGATGTACTTTGCTTACTTTAAATTTTATGTTGATTAGAACAGACTGTAAAATATGTCACTTAGTAATTTTTGTGAGCGAGTCGAGTGTAAAAGAGTCACGCGCGTCATTACCCTCGGCGCGCATGCGCAGCGAGGGTTGCGGTAGTCGTTCTGTGTGTCTGTCTGTCTCTCTGTCTGTCTATGACTATTCTCGCACTACAGTCTACGGGGCGGCTTGCGATACCAACAGCTTTAGCGGTACATGGGCTAGAAAAATAAAATGGTGCACTGGGTACCTTGGAGGCACAAGAAGCCACAGCGAAGGGTGTGTATCGACTCCCGCATGCTATCTACTACTGTAGCTAGCCAGTGTCAGACTCTCCGCAAGCTACCAGCGGGAGACCGCGAGTAAACGCCAATAGCCCAGCCCATCCATTAGCGGTACCGCCAGTTCGCCGAGGGTTTGCACTTTAGTGCTTTTCATTGTGATTATTTGTGATTACCGTTTTTTATTATTGGCTATAATAATTATTATAGCTAAGAGAAAGAGGTCTCAACGTTACCAATAAGCTTCGTGAGGTGGCATGCAATGTAGGAGTTCATCCGTGTAGTTTCATGACTTGTCGTCTAACGTACTTTATCTCTATCGCAGAAAAAACTCGTGAGAAAGAGACGCAGGAATAATATTATACACACTGCTATAAAGAGGTAAACAACAACGGTTGTGAAACAAGGTGCCGAGAAACAATGATGTAACTGAGACACACTGTGATATATACAATGTGTTTCTATATACCACCACTAAAGAGACATTGAGAGTTTCTCTTGGTGAGGTTCCGGGTGGAGGGCTAGTGGTCTGTGGGTGAGGGAGTGCTCACAGAAACTGACTCGTCCAACCCGGAAGAGGGGCTCCTCGGTTTGGTACCACTGCTGAATGTTGAAGTCAGGAAACAGAATATCCATCTCCATCAAAAAGCCTGCCTCACATCCTAATCAGTAATACACAGTGGTTTGTGTGTAAGTTTGAATTGCCACAACTTTAGTTAAAAAAATGCCATATGCCCAGCAGTCACTTACGTAGTTGGAGGAAATTGCACGTAACCCTCTATATACCAGCACTAGTTTAGGCAAAAGCTTTTTCCGGGTGGGATAGTCATGAAAAGTATATTTATAGCATACTAGCCACAGAAAGAAAGAAAACCAGAAGTCACCCTCCACCCAAGTATATACATACACAGACACAAACAACACAGTTGCACACAATAAGGTAGGACACCAGGTGCCCAGCCTTGAGAACTGGGGTGGTGGGTTAAAGAGTCTTTTATGGCATGCCAACTCTCCCCACACACCTAGTGTCCAAACCCAACGATAAACAATCACAATGACAGTTACTATACATAGGCAGTAGAAAAATATAAAATATATATTTGTGTATAAAAACTGATCTTAATGATAAACTAAAAAGAAAGAGGCAGTAAAAATCTCTGTAAATTAAGTCCATAGAAAAATAGACAAAATAGAAAAGGAAAGAATGCGTAGACCAGGCTCATGAGCTAAAGAGCGGCTTTGCAATTGTATGTACGCGTTGTAAAATAAAAAAACATGTACAGTTAGGCTGGGCTCACAATATGTCGTATTGCCCCGCCTCGCCCTGCCGCTTTGCTCTGTCACGAGGATAGAATCCATTTTTATCTTCACGGCACCAAGCGACGCTGCATGGCACAAAAGGGCAATGCGACATACTGTGAACCTACCCTCAGAGACATGGAGTGCACATCTAAACAGGCCCACAAACGCTTCAGAAATATCCCCCTATATGTATGTATGTATGTATATATACCTTCACAAAAAAACATGCAATAGGCAACTACTGACCAGAGCCATGAACAGCATTCCTGGTGTCGGTGAGTCCGTGGAGAGCTCTGATGGAGTCAGGGGCCAGGGACTGGGCCAGACTTGGTTTAGTGGGTCCCATGAGGTCCCTCCACCTCTGGAGGGCCTGGGAGTGGGCCAGTACTAGAGCCTCTGTCTCCCCCGACATCATGTAGTTCACCAGGCGCTCGTAGAAGAATTTAGCTGTGGTGTTTGTTAGAAAAGGCTATGAGATATCTATTGTATA